AACTGGAACAGCTTATAACACTTACTGAAATACTTGAATATGTTTAATTATATGTTTAGAGAACGTTAAAGGACTATCGAGCTCGTAGAAAGGGCACATCCTCGAAAAACTTAGTAAGAAATAAAAATCATCGCAAGTTATGAATTCATTTTAGTTTCGGACAGCTGAAGGCGCTTTACAATGTAAAGATTTATGAAATAGTTAGTCAAATATATTTTAGTAATAATCTGGGCGGTAGTGTTGTGCATTGATGCATGTGTGCGGAACATTACAGGATGGCCATTTCCATATGCAATGGCGTCCATAAAGATGGAAATGTAGCGGAGCGATACAATCTGCTGACAGGCGATCTGCGCCGCCGCGGCCTGTCTCTTCTGCATCTTATTGCGCCATTGCAGCCACTGCAGCCACTGCAGCCATCTTAACCGGGGCCGTTATCTGTCCCGCGTCAATCTGACAGCACCGGGCGCTTCCCCTGGGTCGCATGTGGGTTAAACGGGCGATTAATTGCGGCCAGAACACAAACGCCGGCTTTCACGCAGGAAACCCATCCACCCGCCGCCAGCGCCGGCCACCGCGATCGACGCGCTTCCGCTGATGCCACTTCTGGCTTCTCACGCCGGCTCCGTAACATTCCGCTCATGAATGCGCAATTTGTGAGCGGTTTACATGGGAAAACGAGGCAATTGACTAATGGCATTACCATGCTGATTGACGTAATCAAATCTGAGATTACCATACCGCATTTATTGCTTGGCGATAAGAATCACCAATCACAGAGGGCGCTGCGGTCGTGACTGGTGTTTTGTCAATGAAATGGCTGTACTGACAAGAGGAGCAATCGATGGTGTATAGTGCAGCAAGTAAACAGCACTATCGTCATAAAAAGTGAGTGCTTTGCATACATTATGGAAATGATAGTGGTTATATCCACTCCAATTGTCAGAGCCATAAGGTCATCGGAAGGAAGTGGGCTTCAACAGAGCGGGCGCCGAGGATATTTGACAGGATGCGCGTCCCGGGGCGCGCCAGTCCATCAGCTGTGACAAGTCACTCCTGGGCTGTGCGGAAAAACAGCCGCCCGTGATATCCTGACACAGCCGCGATCTACAGCCTGTTTTCCAATCTGACGATTACATCGATCGGACGGGCATTCCGACACGGGCAAAGGGACGTAATGAGCCAGACAGGCTAACGATGCAGAAGATGTGCAATGACCTTGAAGTAAGGGGAAAGTGCTGGCATAAGTAATTTTCTTCCCGATGCAAAGGACATCATTTTGCCCGTACTGCACTCCAGATTGTACGCGTACGGAAAAACATTGACCGGGTAATTGCGGCCGCACTTTGGGTGTAATTGTTAGTTGCGAAAAGATTTGCGGTTTTGTTGTGATGGCGGACAGGACGCGCTGTCTCGTGGAACGCGTTGCCGCTCTGGGCGAGAGTAATTTTCCGCCGGGGGAACGACCGCATTTTACAGTCCCGGCGTGTGTGTATATGTTGCTGGATTACTTTAATAGGGACAGGTAAAAGCCGTCTGGCGGGCATATTCCGATAATAATGGCTATGTGTGGATAATGGTGCTTTAATCATCGCATAAACGCCAGTATTCCACCGTCGCCCGGCTCACCTTGATCGCTGATCCGGCGTCCACAAACAAGCCGGATCCGTCAGCTTGTCATGCGGCATTTAATTATCCAAATTGCTCACCATAACGCGCCAAAGCTACCGCTGTAAATACGTGGCAGGGAATGTGTCGAAACGTATTAAAATCAATTAGATGTGAAAACATTTAAAAGCTTCCGTAAAGGTCACGCTACTATGTTTCCACATTTGCGCAAATAGCGCAAGAAATTTGGAATGTCAAAATTAACAAAACAAGAGACCACAAACGCCATGGATTGTAGTATTTTATAATACTTTATCTTGAAGAAAATTATAGAAGATATGCAAAGTCTATGCTTAGTTATGCTTAGTTATCACAATCTGCAAATTTACACGCTAAAAAAATTTCCGAAGCCGTGCTTTACACTTCACAGTCAGCGTACGGAAATTGCTGAAGAGTGCTTATTAATAATACAGGTGTACATAAAATCAAAATTCAGCATCAGTAAAGCTGTACAGCCTTGTGAAAAGTATTGCTTATTTACAATATTTTAATAAAATTATATCTCTCCAATAAGAAATTAACCCGACGACTTTCCCACGTGTACAGAAGCTGTGCAGTTTACTGTACAAATGTACAAGTGTTTCGAGTACATGACAAGATACCAAACTAAATCGCCTGACGTTAAATTATTAATTTCCATTTAAGCATCGGTGTCCGCGACGATTGGCTCTGTGTATCCGGTCATTTCCGTAGCGATCAATCACCGTCGATAATAATGGGATCGCTTGAAAGTGTGTAGTGTGTGTTTTTAAAGTCAGCTGACAAGCTTTTGAACATTCATTGAAGGGCTGGTTAATAAGCTACGCTGCTACATTGTTGGTTCAAGCATACATACAGTATATTGGGTGACTGAAGATGTGCCTCGTTGATAATGCCGTGGAATGTCAAGATGCGCACAAAAGGTGTGGCGACACGGCGTAGAGGTAATTTAATTTATGAAAAGTGTCTATTTGCGGGGATGATCCCGGACACACGGCGCCATGAAGGAGCATGTCGCTGGCGCATCGTTAGCCGTGCAAATATCACCTTGGATCACCCCGGCCACGGACGTCTGTATACCGGCCCAAATAACAGGTTTCACTTTGACATGTATTGTCTATCCGATCAATGATGCGACAATAAGGTCCCGTGTGCCTTTTACGGCTGCCTTAATGATTAATTCCATCGATGCGATTACAACCTGCCGGACACGTACGTACTGTAGGTATGGCAGGCTGTACACCATCTTGTAACTATACTGTAAACACTTATAAGACTTACTATTAGCAACTTGTATCGATTTTATCGTTATATCATTCTGTTACCTGTATATATAATATGTATTTATTTATGTAGAGAATTATTTCCAATCTTTATAACCGCTATAGTAATAGTTTAGAAAAAATAAATTGTAATGTGCACGTCTGTGCACGGAAGTATGCTCAATACAGAGAACTGTACAGTTCGCAAAGTACACTATGAAAGCGTGGAATGGATGAATTTCAGTACTAAATGTTTCACGGCAGCTAACGCAGTAGATCTACAAGAACACCGTAGCGATTCCAGCGAAAAAGAAGAGGAAATATTTTTACGTACAACAGGAACATTTTTACGGAAATACATTTTTACGGAAATATTTTACGGAAATATTTTTACGGAAATATTTTTACGTATTTAACAGCGGAAAATAGATTGAGGGACCATGCTCGTAACTCGTAAGTACATGTACATATCTACGGCCTTTCAGCGAAGTTACAATGATTGCCAATATAATGTTTTCAAATAATTAGTTTTCAAAAATACTTTCTTGCAATCACTAACATACTGCAAGACATTTTCTAACAGACAGTTTGGTTTGGTTTTCTATTCAGCTATTATAATTACGGGGGAAACGATATGCTGCACATTATACGGAGACCGTATACCGGGATTTTTTTTGCAGAGTTTTATTCTGGGGATCTCTTCATCGCGGTTATATTGTATCAAGTAATGACTAACGAGCATCAAGAAAACAATGTGGCATGCATTACAGGGCACACGAAAAGAAAAACACTTGAACAGTAAAAATACCACAGAATTTATATCCGTCCCATAAGGCGCAGGCGGTTAATTTTTCTGGCTTAGCAGAGTGGTGCAGTTCAGTTTAATTCAGCATAAAATATAGTCAGCCTACCCTCTTGCGCTTTTACGCCCCTTCATGACCTCCAGTCCAGGCAGGAGTTGGTACTTCCGGCTTTGCGTGTGCCCAATTCTGCAGTAATTTTCTGTTTTGGACCATCCTGGTGTGTAAGAGCTCTGGTAGCTTCGAACGATCCGCTAGTACGGACAGGGTACAAATTAGCTGTTTTCAAAAATGTGATGCGAGCAGTGCCGGAAGTGGTAATTGCAGCTGTCATCCAGTGATTTCGTTAAGAACAGCTTTCCCGTAGTACCGTACTACGGCTGACAATAACTTGTATTCTGACGCAGTACCCTGGACTGGAATAAAATGGGTTCTAACTTTTTAGCCATGGCATCACAGAGAAAGTTTTGTATACACAACAGTGTAAGTTTTATCGGTTGTTCGGCATTTCGCACGTACTAGCTACTACGTATCTGTAGTTTGGATTCCATCCGAGTGACCTTTCAAACGTGCTTTCAAAACTTTTACAGCATTATTCTCTTTTTATGCCGGTGATTTTAAAACATTGGTATATTTCATCTAATGCCAAAATCCAGTACTACAGTCTGTACATCTTATACGAGTATACAGAGAATCAATTATCGCGAACGCAGTTTCTATATCCGCTAACATCGGTAATTCCGTTAGATTATCTTGGCCCAGATTTTTCTACAGTGCATAAGCCAGGTTTTGGAATTGTTGGTTAATTTATTGTAGTAAAATAACTGACGATTCAAAAACTGGACATGGATCGGCATCGGATTTCGATGGAAGTACAAGAAATATACGGCGTATGTGTTTTGAAGCTGGATTTGCCGGTACCACGGACTTTACCGTACGTGTGGACATTTTACAGTACGTACACAGAAATCATTTTAAGAACGTTGTACATATTGTAGGTAAAAACTGGCTTGTTTTATGTGACTAATAGTAAGAGTGTAGTTCATTCCCATCAAATCCAGGCAAGCTACTAATACCGTGTGGTGCCGCATTCAATCATCTGCAAATCAAACAAAGTTGTTGTGTGCGGTGAAGTTTAACGCTATCGTCGGCAAATACTTGGACTTTTGTCTTTTTTGTTGGAATCTGCTGATTGCACCTATTGATTATGTACCACAATCTTGATGTGCTGTCGGTTTCCACAATCATGGCTACATGCATATGCTTGTAGCAAAAGGAACTGACATTAGTTATTGTACCCGTACAAAAAAAAACGTCTTTTACCGGCGATTATGTAACAGTGAACTGTAATCAGATTTGCCGCAGTAGTTAGGGCTTGACTGCTGATGGTACGAAAAATTGACTTTACACCAACCTATCTGCCGAACTTCAACAAGCGACAAATTTATAGAAAACCTATATATCGCTTGATCGTAAAAAAAATGTTAACGCTGTTTTTGTGTTTCATCGGTGCCCTTGCATTCGTGATAATCTGGAACAGTTTGCAGAAACGGAAACATCTTCCACCGGGACCTGTTTGGGGTACGTGTAGGTTCGAGACAAATTACAATAACGTTTACAATTAGAACTTGGCGTCATAATTTGTCAAACTTTGGAAGATTTCAGGAATAACTCTTGACACAAGTGCTCAGTAGCAAAAAGTGCCGTTTGTATTTTGCTGTGAAAATTTCAGAATGGCCGATTCTGGGAAGCGCCATGGATTTGGGGCGGTTACCCCATATAACGCTGATGAAAATGGCGCAGCAATACGGGCGCGTCTTTCGACTGCACATGGGATTGGACTTAGCCGTGGTGCTGAACGACTACGAGAGCATTAAAAAGGCCTTCAATCTGGAAGAATCCACGGGACGTCCACGAGATACCATTGCTGATTATCTTTTTGGGAGGAACGTCGGTAAGATCCGGTTCGAGAAAACCCGATCGCTAAGCTCTTTTTCTACGAATGTCTGTTGCAGGTTTAGCCTTTAGCGAAGGTAGTTTGTGGAAGGAGCACCGGCGCTTTGCCTTGTCGGCATTACGTGATTTGGGAATGGGAAAATCCTGGCTCCAGGAGCAAATTCTGGATGAAACGGAACTTCTGATTCAAGCGCTCACCGCTGCTAAGGAACAGCCGATTGATCCGCATCACCTGGTTACGACAACCGTCTCCAACGTTATTTGCGCCGCGGCATTCGGGAAACGCTACGCATACACCGACGAGCGCTTCCGGTCCATACTGCGCAACGAACAGGATTTTATCCAACAGCTGAACCAAATGAGCCCGCTTGACCTTTTCCCGGTTCTGCGCTTTGTGCCGCCGTTTCGGGAAGTCTTCCAGAAGCGGCTGGATGTTGTGCGTACCCGGTATGCGCATATTGCGCAGGCGATCAGAGATGCGAAAATATCAGGAGTCGAAGACGCCGATCGCAAGGACTACGTCAACTTGTACCTGCGCGAACAGAAACGGCAGTTCGGACATGACAGCATGTCGACTTTTAGCGGTTAGTTAAATTGCAGCAGTATGACGGCGTACTTAGAAGGTCATTGACTAATATGAGCGGATATTTCTAGACGGGCAACTTGTGGATTCGGTGATCGATATCTTTGGCGGTGGAACCCACACGGCGGTCACATCCATCCTTTTCGGAATGATTCTGCTGGTGGAAAACCCAGAGGTCTTGAAACGAGTTCATACTGAATTGGATGCAGTGGCTAAACCGAACGAACCGATTCTACTGGAACATAAAGGTACGCTTGTGCTTTTGTTTAGTCTTACACAACTCCTCGTGAAATTAATGACCTTGTTGCCATTTCTTAACGACCTATACCTACGTGCGCGGTCCAGTCAGTCGTACGTCGCATGTACTAGTAGACTTGCCACATCGCAAAACTGTTGTTTGAATAACTTGATGAATAGAAATGGTTTTGTTAATGGCATTTTGATAGGTCACGTGCCCTTCACGGAAGCCACCATCTTGGAGGTGCAGCGCCTTATTCCCGTTGTCCCACTGGGCGTTCTTCATCGGACCACCGCGCCCACGAATTTAGATGGCTACGAGCTCCCGCCGAACACTCTTCTCATGTCCAACATCTACGCGGTACACCATGACCCACAATTGTGGGATGAACCAGAGGTCTTCAGTCCGTCACGATTTCTGGACAATCAAGGGAAGTTCGTCAAGTCACCGCATGTCATTCATTTCTCTCTCGGTATGCCACACGTAGAATCCAGCTTCTGTAATTATGGCAAGTATCAAGCTTAAGGGATTTTTCTTAGGAAAACGAGCTTGTCCAGGAGAAGGCTTAGCGCTAATGGAGCTGTTTCTGGTGTTTGCCAATCTTATCCACAAATTCGATCTGGAGACTCCGGAGGGCTCCACAGTTTCTTCGAAAGACGTAACTGTCAATATAACACAAGTTCCAAATTCGTTTAAGCTTATTTTTAGACGACGGTTTTAATAGCATAACAAAAGATCGCCATTCGCGAGCCACATTGCTCGGTTCAGTACTCGTAGGGTTTTGCTTGCGATGGTATTTAAAAATTAAAAACGGCATTGACCACTGCATTTTAGCTCTGGGGCTTGAAGCTACTAAAATACTGAAGCGGAAGTAACGTTGTCTTTTCGGCTTCCTCTTTTCTGGCCAGCTTGCCACAAGCGTATATGTGGTATGGTTGCAGCTTTGCCGTTAAATGGCTATACAAACAAATTATTGCTAATATTTTCGTCTCACGTGGGATAATCAAAGCATCTAATGCACTCTTTTTGATCCGATGATTTTTATTTTCGATAATCGCACTGATAGCTGCATTAATGATCTTATACCCTATCCCAGGAAATGCATCGAAAAGCTTCCTCGAAACACCGAAGAGGGGCAGAAACTTAGTAGCATCTTTTTATTACGCTTCCTTAAAGCTTATCATTAAAGGCAACTACACATTTCCGACGTTACGCTTTCTCATTCCTTTTGGGAGCCTCCGAGATTAGCCGAAGTGCTTCTGCTTAAAAGAGGTTGATCAGGAAAGCATGCTTTTTCTGATACAAAAGCATCTCCTTTTTGAGGCCGAAAACGCAAGTAAGACTCCATACCAGGTAAGAAATCAAGCCGGCAACGCAGCCACTGGTTATTATCTGTGTCGTACACCTCGATCAGGCTTTCATCATCCGAAAATCCACCAAATGCCACTAGCTGACCGTCGACAGCTAACAAATCGTGTATGGCGCGTTGGCATGTCATTTCGGCAATCGGCTCCCACAACAGATTACGCAAATTCTTGCGCTCGCCTGAAGCGGTTGCGGACGCTCGCCTGGCGCAGGTGACAGGTGTGGTGCCTGTTTCCGAGCCATCAGTGCTGCTTTCCTCGTCTGTGGAGGACTGGTCTTCACTGTCGGGAGGCTGTGGTATTAGGAAGCCACCTGTCACGTACAGATACCCGTCTAATTCCGCAAATGAGGCATTCGAGCGATTTATCCGGGGTGGAGAATGCATTGTCCGAACGTCAGCGCGAGTGTTGTACTCGTACAGGCGGCAACTGCAATAAAAAGTTGAAAAACGAAAGTGTTAAGCTTTCGGAAATAAAAAGGTCATGAGCATTAGCAAGAAAACTATGTATGTGCAAGTTATTACATCAATTTAATGAATACAATTTTAATTGTTTTCTTGATTTTTCAAGTATTTCCCGTACAGTTTCCCGTTTCAAGTACACATGTCTCTTCAGAAGAGGTTTCGTAGCTGGCAACAGACACAGAACCGTAATTAGAATATTCATCGCATTATCGCACACAGTTTCTGCAGTTGAACGTTGACACAAAGCACTTGTGCTAAAGAACAGCGCAGGCCGTAGAACATGTTGTACGAGTACAGATAGAACATGTACGCGTAGAACATGTAGTACTTTAGGCGCGTATCATGCAACACTTACCCCGCATAAGAGAAAATATTATTTCCTCCGACCGCTGTCAGTGTTGGTTCATAATCTTCGCCATATCTGCTAGTGGCATACACACACATTTACTTAATAGGGTAGTAATCACTGCCAGTTAAAATACGAATGATTTCAAACGAAAAAATACTCGTATAATATATGAGAGAGATTCTTACTATCCGCGCAGTTTTCCGAACGGTGGCAGACATAGCTTAGTGGATTTGATGCTGGCCTTGTCGCTCTTCAGTTCCCGTGAACCAACAGCGTGCGCATAAAAATCACCGTTCCCGGGCAGCTGATAATGTACACCATCCACAATAATGCACGTGAAGTGAACATATCTATCCTCGAAATGATCTCGACTTGTCATGTCATAGCAACAGTACACTTTTTCGGGGTCCGCACCGTCGTCCAGTCGGAAGAAAGGACCGGCGCCGTGGCGGTGTTCCAGAGCGTGCCAGGCAATATCATTATCGCGACATTTCAGGTGTTTCCGCACCGCGTAGAGTTTGCCGTTAGTAAGTTGTATGTGGCGATTGATGTACTGCATGGAACTGTCGTTGTATAGATGACGATTGATTTCATATGGCCACTGTTCGACGCGCACAGTTCGCAAACGCAGATCGAACTCCAACAAGATTCCATCCCAGCCATAACAGCAGAGATACAAGCACTGGTGCATGTTACGACTCCGCGGTTGAGGGTATCCCGCATGTATTGCGTCGCTAAAAAACTTGTCAATGATCTGATGATGTCGCGGGTACATGGTGTGCAAAGATTCCTGACATTGTTGTCGTTCCTGAACGGACAGCAGTGACCAACGAATTTCGGATAACGTTTTAAGCAAGCCGATATGATCGAGCATTTTGTGCTCTCGATACCAACAACTGAGACTCTGTAATAAAAATGTGGCTATTTTGCAGTGAACCAGCACAAACTGTCAGAAGTCAGCATAAAAACCGTTCAGCCTGTACAGTACCTCAAAACTTCGATTTCTGAATTCAAAAGAAGAAATGGTTGCCGTAGGATAACCAATAGTTCCTCGATCTTGAGAGCGGCAAACGCGAGAGTCTTCCTTATTACTGGGAGCTGGCTGCCCAACAGTTCGCCCACTTTTTGTTTTAAACTCGCGCTTGAATTGCGCAGGCTGTACTGCATTAACGGAAGGCATCTCGCCGTTGACACGCCGTGTTCAAGAATGAAACGAACACACATTTTCACTAAGCCGTCCACCTGAAAATATTCCGCAGCTGTCAAAACGGCGAGGACGTTAGTTTTAGTGATGTTGTACGGTTTCGGTCTCCTTTCGGTCTCTTGAGAGGATGAAGCAGAAAAATCCATTATTAATATGCGCGCAACGGTTTTTCCATTGGAGAATGGTGGAGCATGCAGCACGATATCATTTTGGGAAGCTTCCCGGAAGTGCTGCACATTGAGCATAGCGGCGAAATATGGTGATAAGGAAGTCAGCCGTCTCCGACTGGCCACTACACAAATGCGGTTTTTACCAATCAGAAACCGCACGGCATCCTCATTCACAGACGCTGTTGTTGGTACTCCATGAATAACCAACGCTTTGGCCAATGGCTCTTGTAACAGCTTTTCCATCTGGCCACTGTACTGTACTTATATTCTCCCTCGCTGAATCAATGTGTTAAATTTATGCAGGTAACATTAGAAGTGTTCAAGCGAAGGTTCCGTCCTGCTCAAATGCAACTCTTGTTACACAAATTGCTTGAGATACGAGTACAATACCTCGTACTACCAGTGTATATACTGTATTCCGTAGATAATGCTGTTCAAGTAGGCTTGTTTAACTGAACATATGTGGAGTGAAGTGTGGACTGCACATGGTTATCGTCTTCGTTGTTGTCGTTATCAGTCCACAGTAGTGTATTATGGCCAGTTCTACCCCGGTCCAACGTAACGTTACTTTCGTAAGGCATCAGCCTCGTCAGAGCCTACAACCGTTATTTAGCAAACATCAAGGAGAACGTTTTTTTTCCCGAAAACAGTTTTTTAACTCAATAGCTCCGGAGTCCGGATACATACTGTGTTATACAGTTCATGGGTAGCACGCTACTTCAGCGACAAAAAGATTCGTATGACTAAAGCATTTCATTGTTTGCATGCCAGGTAAATCACAAAAATTGCAGCTGAACCACTGGTTGTTTTCCGCATCATAGATCTCCATAAGCGATCCGTTCGTACCATCACCGCTGAGTCCACCCACCGCTACCAGCCGGCCATCGACGACGCACAACCGATGTCCATAACGTGGGCACGTCATGTCCCCAACGGGTTGCCAGACCGAATCTCCGCTACGTAAATCCAAGCGCTCGCAGCTCCTCAAGCGAACCCGCTCCAGGAACACTGCGTTATCACGGATTAGTGGTTCATCTCCATTTCCGCATTCTGGCAGTGGATTCGTTTGCCATATGGTGAGGCCGCCGGTAACGTACAGATAACCGTCGAGCTCCACCAATGCCGGCTGCATTCGGTTAATTCGCGGTGGGGAACGCATCGTCCAAAAATCACCGCGGGTATTGTATTCGTACAAACGGCGTCTAGAAAGTAATTCAGCGAAGCATATTAGCGTAAGAAACAAAAAAACCCTCAAAAAAGCGCTTTCAAGTTCGAAAACCAATGCAGTTAATTAAGAGCACACTTTATTAACAGAACCCAAATTGTGCTGGGTCTTGTTACTATCTAACTCTGACGTAGATAACAACAGCTATCCCCATGATTGTACTGAATGTACTGTACTCGGATCTTTATTGGCTATTACCCTGTATAAGCAAAAATGTTTCCGCCGCCATCTACCAACATTGTCGCATATTCGCCGTTGCTGTTGATAAGACAAAACAGTTTGGTAGTAAATAAAACCGAAGGAATTAATGTGAGTTAGGAGTTTCCATACCGTTCAAGGATTCTAGCAAACGGTGGGTCGGACAGGTCCGTAGACGCTAGATTACCATCCGTATCCACATCCTCTGCCCGTGCGTCGATCGCATGTCCCCGAAAGCTGCCATCTCCCGGCAATTCGTAATGCATGCTCCCAATAACGGTAGAAACGAAATCATAATCGTCATCCGAATAATCGGCAGGAGTCACATCAAAACAACAGAATACCTCTTCAGGCCGCGTCGTGTCGTCTTCGAGTCGGAAGATCGGGCCGGCAACACGCCGACGCTTCATCTTACGCCAGGTAATGTGTTCATTGGTTTTCCGATGAGTGACCATAGCGTAGATATTCCCGTTCAGCGTTCGGGTGTCGGATTCCATGTGGTGCATGGCGCTGTCGTTGTTGAAATGACGGTTCACTGAGTATGGCCAGGTGTCCACCCTTACAGCGCGTGTTCGGAGATCGAACTCGGCTAGGGCTCTTTCCGACACGGTAATGTACAGACACTGGTGGCGGTTACGATTACGCGGTAATGGAAGGCCGACGTATAACGTGTCGAAGAAAGCGCCAATAACATGTCGATGCCGCGGAAATATGTCTTTTAATACTCCGTGACACCGTTGTCGTTCTTCGAAAGACAAGACAGACCAGCGGATTTCGCACAGCGTGACCTCTAAGACGTGTGCATCGAGTTTCCTGTTTTTCTGGTACCAGCAGCTTAGGCTCTACGAGTAGGCTACATGCAGATACAGGTAACCAGCAGTAACAGTAACTATTAGAGGGTTTCTAGTTTTGTGCAAGTAAACATGTTCTTACCTCGAATACATCCATTTCCGATGCTACAACCAAGAACGGCTGCCGCAATATCACCAACAATTCCTCAACGTTCAAACTGGCAAATCTTGGAGTTTTCCTGATAACTGGGAACATAGTACCTACTATCTCGCCAACCCTTCTCTTTAGGTGCGCATGAGAGCGTTGCATGCTAAACTGCAAGAGTCGCAGACAGCTAGCGGCCGAGACACCGTGTTGGATAATGAACCCGACGCAGGCTTCGACTAAGGTATCCATCTGAAAGTAATCGGCCGCGGCATAAACCGATAAAACATTGCTCTTGTTAGTGTGGTAACTCTTGGAAACGGGTAGAGTTCCGGGTTCTTCTACGATAAAATCAGCAACAAGTAACCGCGCGACGCATATACCACTGGAGAATGGCGGAACATGCAGTGTGATCTCGTCCTGCAGTCCTTCCTGGAAGTGCTGCACATTGAACATAGCGGCGAAATACGCTGAGGTGGAAGATAATCGCTTTCGGCTGGCCATCACCGGGATTCGGTTTTTGCCAATCAGAAACCTCACCGTGTCGGCATCGAGTCCCGTTTTGTTTTCAGCTGCATTGGTACGCCGCTTTTTGAGGCAAGGTCCTTCGAATGGTTCATTCATTTCTCAAAGTTAGTTTGTAATAACAGTACGTAATTGCTGTAGAATGCATCTAGCAGAGCAACCTGCGAACAATTAATAACCACAGCGCAAATTTGTTATTGCTTTCTAATACTGTAAATCGCAGTCTATTCCGTGTGTCTATTTTGGGCCGGAAGTACGTATTAAAATAGAACTGTTTACAGTGCTGCTGAAAGGGTTCGCGCGTTTGTCATCATAAAAACATTTTAAATACAGTGCAAACATAAGTGCTTGCCGACTGACATGTCTGAGCACATTAATTCAAGCGCATTGTAGGTAGCGCTTAGATATTTCACTCTCCGGTTATCAAGGATAAACTGGTCGAAGATAACAATTTACAAATAATTCAGTCGGCATTTACGTACATATTTGTGATAAGAAGCTTAACCGGCATTGAGTCGGGATTTCGCAACAATGCAGTTCAACATAATCCCTAGTTGAGATACATATTTGCAACATGTAGCAATAATAATTATGCTTTATCATGGGGGCAAGCATATTGTTTCAGAAGCAAAACATTGGAATTTGCTGTCTGATGGAAAAGGCGTAACATAAGGCAGTGGTATTTTTCGGCTGGTCCATTGATTTTGGAGAGAATCGTACTCTTCGACTTCACCAACAGCCTCGTTGGACTGGGATTCTCCAGCGACAACAAGTTGGCCATCCACCACACAAACGTAGTGTCCGGCACGCGAACATTTCATCGGAGAAATATCTTCCCAGCGAAGCTCGCTCAGGTTAAATCGTTCACACTCCACTACGAAGATTTTCTCTTGCAAGACCTCCTTGTTGTCGCCACTAGTCTGAAATCCACCTATCACATACAGAAAGCCATTCAGCTCAGTTAGAGATGGTTGTAACCGAGGGGCTCCTGGCGGCGAGAGTACTTCCCATTTCTTTGCATTGGGCAAAAATCTTGCAAAGTATGCCCTGGAAAACATATTATCGTCCACATTAGTTTTGTAACTTTGATTTACCGGTATGTATGTACTGTATCTCCAAAGAATACTGCGCACCCGTTAAGGAGAAAGATATATCCGTTGCAAGCCACCATCACCGGGCTGATTTCGTTCCCGCTGCAAAACAGCAAACAGATGCTTTATTTGGTCATCAGTTGACAGAAAATTTTTTCCAAGACTAATTAACCCATTTAGTTTATGGCTGTATGACGGATCACTGATCGTTCATCCTACATTGACATGACGCAAGGGTGATTTTAAAAAAAACGGTAAAGTATCAGCTTTAATGTATAACATGTTGTGTTTTGGTCTTCTACTGTATTGCATTGTACATCACACTTCACACATGCTGTACGCTATGTATGCAAGCGTCAAAACCGCTTTTACACAAAATCGTCCATTTGCGCGTTACCGCGGAATATCGGAGTGAGCCACCTTCTGGTGTGTGCAAAGAAATCTCCCGAATTCATTCCATACGTTTATGCAGGAAGTGGCTCACCTTCTTAAACCGAAATCAGGTAAGGTCAAATCTTCCACCTCTTTCGGCGTTTTTGTACAATGCACTTGAAACATATTGCCTTGCAGAACATAATGTTTGTCCTCCAAAACAACACCGGGGAACCGGCTGTTCGCATAGTGACTCGGTTCGGCTAAGCAGCATTCATCGGCAGTGAGCGCTTCTGTCACAGAGAACAGGGCACCGGACCGGCTTCTCCTCTCCAGCTTCCACAACGACACCTTCTTACCACGCTTAATGATCGCGTGCGGTACGCCATCAACGATCGCCAGTTCCGGTGAAACACAATGCCCAACCGGAACGGACGGATTGACGTCGTACGGCCACGATTCACCGCGCACCACATTCAGACGCAAGTCGAATTCGTAGATGGCGGCTTTGGCGCTACGATGGCTGCTCGGTGAGCGCTGTACGCAGATGTACAAACTCTGATGCCGGTTACGTTGACGCGTATGGGGATAAGTAGAAGTATCCACCAGCGTAAAGTATTCGGTTACTGTCGCTTGATGGTCGGGAAACAGCTCGCCCAGTTTCGATTGGCATTGCAGGCGTTCGTCGGCAGACATTGCGTACCAGTGAAACTCGTCGAGAACTGTCGTAATGCAGTGAACGTCGAGCATCGGATGCTTTTTAAACCAGTCACAGACATTCTGCAAAAACAACCAGCTAATAGTTTCTTGAAATAGCTAACGGCAACCATTAGTACGTCAGCTTTACAATTACCAAAAATATTTGTATCTCCGATGTAACCATGAGAAACGGCAGTTGCAAAATAAACAGTAGTGCGGGCAAACTCATTTCGTCAAACTCGTTATAATCCCAGATAACCGCCAGTATTGGTCCGATCAGATCTCCAAGGACGCGTGCCATTTCGGGGCGCGGGTACTTAAGGTGGATCTCCAGCAAGCGCAGACAGCGTGCCGTAACGACGCTGTATTTCTTCATGAACTGGATGCATGCCCCTACTGCCGTTTCCATTCGGTAGTAGTGGGCCGCGGCGTATAAGCTGACAATGTTGTTACTCGTAACTCCGAACGTCTTCGTCCAGTGGGATTCTTTTGGTCGTAGTTCCTGATTAAAGTCGAGTGTTAGGAGCCGTTTAACGGATTTGGAATCGGAGAGCGGTGGAATTGATAGCGGTATCGTGGTCCCTGGTGCATGATCTTGCAGCATGCTTGCGAAATAAGGTGACGACTCGGATAGTTTGGTTCGATCGGCGGATATCGTGGCGTTGTCCTCGCCGATGGTAAATGTAACATTCTCTTCTTTAGCCACTTCGGACTCCAGATTTAATGGGGTTTGATTATTTATTTCTCCATTATCAGAATTCTGCATTTCAACATCTGAGGTGGACATTTCTGGAACGGCCAAAGCATACAGGTGGCAAATGTATGTCAGTGTCAGAAAGGCATTTCGAGGATGCAACTCTGAGTGTGCAAGCTTTAATGTAACTTATCTATGCATCTTTCAAAAATAAAGTTCTACTGTAGTATCTCGTGCTGTTGTGTACTTGTGTGGTAGTCACAAACGGAGTGATTTGCATTCAACTGAAAACTAAAGTGAGCCAGATGACTGCACAATGTATGCTTTTAACTGTGCAGCTACTATCCTTCACTTTCTTATCAAAACCTTAATTACTAGCCAGTAGATAACAAATGCGCTTAGGTAAACCTGTGAAATTGTCAGTAGGCACTTGCTGTGCGGTAATGCATACTTGTATGGGGCAATTTACGTGAACTAGACATATCGTCTTGCCGTTCCAATAAATTATGGCAAAGATGTTGCAAGAACACTAACCAATAGGTCGAGTCAATGGCGTTCTGTTTAATTACGCATAAAACTGTGTGATCTTAACGTTTAGCAGACGCTTAGCCCGCTCGGAAGCCTTAAGCAAACACTTCTCAATCCCGACCGCAACCTTCCTTGTCAACCAAAAGGTTGACACACCAGAGCTGCCCGAGACGGGTGGATAGACGCACTGGATGCGCATAATTACAAACATAATTTCGCCGTCCCGAAGCCGTACGAATACACGATCGCGACCATGTTCCCAATGGCGCTTCCCCTGACAAAATCTCATGGTGACCATACTTGAGCGCCGGATGCCCCGATGTCAGGCTTAACCTTGTGAAACTGTCGAACTTGCAGCAAACTAAGTGCCTCAATAAAGCTGATAAATTATTTAAGCAATAAATGCGATTTCTGTCAGTAAGCCGAGCTTTGGGGTACGGTATATAGTATGCGAATGCTTGTACTATTGCACAAGGAAGCAAGCAGCATGTTTATTTGATAGAAAGACCGTTTTTTGAATGTACAGAGTACAATCTCGAATAAGATCTGCTGTAGAAGTTAAACAAAGAACATAACATTACTGTACTTGTAGGAGTAAGTGCGCTGCGGGTATTATTTTGTCGAAGGCTTTCGCAGACAATACAGTACTGTTCTGCTAAACATTCCAACTTAGTAAATGTCACAACAAGTCGAGACTACTAAGCTGCGGTTGTCTGCTCCTTTTATTATTACAGATTTGCACTGCGGTGTATGGTATGTACCGCGGTATATAGGTGCATTAATTAACTTGAAACGCAACAAGCGTAGAATAGCTTAACCTAATAAATTTTGGTAAACCGATAATGAACCCGCCAACAAAATTGTTTGTCGGACAAGCACCAAGTTCCTGCACTTCAGAATTTCGATTTTGGAATCCTGGCCGGATACTTTCAGACAGATTTCGGTCCGGTAAACCGCCACAATAACAACATTTTACAAAGACAAACATGTTGATTCTAAAACGAATGCTTGTATGTCGTCAAAGCCGGCTTTCTGACCAGTGCATTTCGCTCTTGGCCAGGCAAATTCAGGACTTGTCCATTGATCCTTTACTGCATTGTAGCATTCCATGAAATGGTTAACAGAAAGGTCGGGAGGGATATTTCCTCCTACGGCTACAAGCTGACCATCAACCACGCATACTCTGGGATACGAACGGGGACACTGCAACGAAGCAACTGATTCCCAGCAGAGACGCTGTAGATTAAAGCGATCGCAATTTGCTGAAGGGTGATCCCCCTCTTCGCTGCCGTTCTCCGAGTGGATTTCAGAGTCTGCGATTTCCTCACCAATATTATAACCGCCTATCATGTACAGGAAACCATCCAACTCAATCATGCTACAACCCCAACGGCTTGGCTGAGGTGGTGCATACTCCTCCCATTTCTTGGTGGCAGTGTCGAATTTCGCAAAGTGGTGGCTGCAAAACCACACTCGTACTAATTATATTAGCCGCACTATCTACAACTGTTAGCTATATTTCTACAACTGTTAGGCTGTATTCATACAATACAAACAATTTGCGGGGAATACGATTTGTACGATTGCCCTCACATACGTGCACGATCCGGATAAGGTGACGGCCTGATCAACCGATTAGTGTTGATATGCAAACTCTACCAGCTCTTTTTCACAGGGAATCGATATCATACACGTTACACTCACAGCTGTGCAATTGCATCGTATTAATATCCAAAAAAATTTTGCGAGAAGTTACGCATACTGTATCTACACAAATCCACACGCAGCAACTACGTTGTATGCGTTAATTCACCCGGTGTATAGGAAAATGTATCCGCTACACGTTTCAAGCGAAGCGCGTATGCAACCATGCCTGTTAAAAAAACCACGAAGCGCTACATTAATAAAATCATCACAATGAGAAAAATCAATACATTACCGTCGGTCCACAAAACCAAAGGGTGGTAGAGGCAAACGCCGCCTGTCGTTCCGCGTACCCACATCATGGACTTCAAAATAGTCGGTATTAATGGTGTAAAGTCCGTAGTGCCGGTTGTGCATCACCACTTGGGTCTGTCCACCAAAAGCATCAAACTCAAATTCGTACTCTTGCAGACTTAAGGTCGCCGCATCTCCAGCGCAGCATTTCCATTCACAATCAAGAACCCGGGAGAACCGAAAGAATGGACCGGCACCGGTACGGCGCTCCAGCTGGAGCAACGCAACTGGACACGTTACGTCTTTGTCGCAATAGACCACCGCATATGTCCCTGTGAGTCCGGTAATGAAATTGCAGGTGATGGACTGTGTGGAACTGGCGGAGGGGAGCACGTGGTTGATGTCGTACGGCCAGGATTCGGATCGCTCGGTGTGTAAGCGCAGATCATACTCGTAGATTGTGGCGTGTTCCTCGCTATCACGAATACTAACGTACAAACACTGATGCTTGTTCCTCTGGCGTGGTAGTGCATGACAGACAAGGCTGCTTTTGTTAATAAATGAGATGATCTTTTCTGACTCACTCGGAAGTAGTTCTTGGATCGTAGCGTGACACCATTGTCGTTGCTGAATTGTTAGCGACGACCATCGAATTTCTTGGAGTAGCATCAGCAGAGCTTGTATACCGGTATCTGGATTGCGTTCGATCCAAATATGAAACGCCTGGAAAATAACTGCTCTTCAGATTAATTGTGATTAAATTAGAGAGTACGCTGGGACTAACTTCGAAAATGTCCATTTCGGAGGTCACAATCAGGAACGGCTGCTGCAGCACAAAAACGAAGTTCTTCCGCGTCCAGTTCACAAAAACCTGGACATTTAGTCAAAGCTGGAAACATACTGCCGATCATCCGCGTAATAATGTCATGCGCGTCTGTACGCGGATGTTTCACATGGAACTGAATTAAGCGTAAAAATCTGGCGACCGTCACTCCGTACTTCGAGATAAACACAATACATTTAGCGACTACAGCTTCCATTCCGTAATAATCCGCCGCAGCGTATACGCACACCACATTGCTCTTATTGAGTGGTTCGTCTAAACCAGTGCGATATCGTGGCACCAGCTCCTGCGTCTCCATGTAATATCTGACAAGGCGAGCAACGGCACTAGCGCTGGAATACGGCGGGACTTGCAGTTTGATCTCAGTCTGTGCCGATTCTGTGAAATTCTTGGCCTCAAACATGGCCTGGAAGTATGGCGATGCAGCCGATAACTTTTTCCGACTGCACGTCACTTCGATGGGATTAAAAGGAAAGTAATTATTGAAGTCAGTGTCGTCATCGCTCTTATCCATGATAAAACGCACTTCATCGCTAAATTTTGGTTGAGAGGTTTTCCATGCTGGTGCGTCTTCCGTAATGTCGTTAAGACTTTCGATTATGCTCGAGATATTCATCCTGGTACGTGGAAAGCGCTCAAGTTTCTAGTCATCCAATCGCAGCAGATATCAATTATATATGTAAGCGTTTCGTCTCTATATTAGTGTAACTGCTTCCATTTCTAGATGATGATCTCAAATTCTCAATCCTCAAATTACAGATTTTATGATTTTTACACGGATACTTAGGTTTAAAATAACGCCGCTGCCAAACAGTTTACAACAGTTGTTCGACTATTGCTCACCGGAGGCCAGTAGTGTAGGTATTTGAAAACTGTTGTCTAATTGCGTTTTGCCGATAGAGCTGTCAATGCTTTTTATCGTGTAATGTTAAAACTGCATATCTGTAGCTATCGCTAAGTGTACAACAATAACTAACATGACAGCATTTCCAAATTGAGATAACTTAAGTAATAGAGATAGAAACCAGACGAAGTAAAGTAGCAAAATACCAGTTATCGGACGAGCAAATTTTGACGGTATGTAACCGGCAAAAGACCCGACAGACGGCTAATCCGCCAGGAAGGTTTTGGCGGTTACATACGATGCCTGGCATCTCAATTTTTATGCGAACCGCCAGCGTATCTCAAGCCGCTTTCTTTTTAGGTTTTTTATCAGATACTTTTTTGTATTTTTGTGAGAATTTTGTGCTAAGTGGCAACTTGCAATTGCGGATGCCAATTCAACTGATAAACGTTGCTAAAACATTGCCCTTGCAGATACGGGTCCATCAAGCATTAATCGGAACCGGCACGCCTTATGGAAATCACCATTGTGTGACAGTTTCCATGAAATTTTTAGAGTTCTCGTCCATCTCTGAACAATTTTTTTATTTTCTCTTCCTTCGATAACGCGCTTGTTTATTATTAGTTTGCATGTGATATATCTGTGCTCCAACTCACTTACAGGAGTACTAAATGGAGCCTCTTTGTTCACTGCATAGTGCATGGTGCTCTATAGCTGTTCTTACGGAAAACAAGCTGCTTCCAAAACAAAACTTGAACCTATCCGCAACAAATCTTGCACACTAGATAACCCTAGTTCCCCTCCAATCCACTCAGTTCTCTCCACATTATATCGCTCCACCGGATACGACGCGGACGTACAGCTACTCCTTTGAAGACCTCCAACGGCCACCAACTGGCCATCCACAATGTGCAGGTTATGACCAAATCGTGGACAGTTCATCGGCGCTACCGGTTCCCAGCTGCCTGTTTGCAAATTGAACCGGTCACATTGCGGGGACGCCTTCTGCGGTCCTTCAAAGAATTCCGGACCCGCCGGATTGACGAGACTTCCACCTACGGCATACAAATATCCGCCCATCTCGAGCAACGCTGCATGTGAGCGCAGTGTCGCTGGTGTTGCATATTCCGTCCATTGCAGAGAAATTCTGTCAAATTTCGCGAAATGGTACCTAAAAACATAAAATATCATCATTGTACGAATGTAATGCGCTAACTATACAGCGGTGACCTTTCCATACCCAGTCAGCAGGAAAATATTGCCGCAGCATTCTACTAAATTTGGCGAACCCTGTCCAATAATATCGAATGGTGGGAACGGCAGTAGCCTTTTGCTACCTGGATCACCGACATCATGGACACTGAGCTCGTTGCCTTCATCGTTGAACTGGTAATGTTTACCCTCAGAAATTACATCGAAACCTTTCATATACCAGCGCTCATTCTGCCCCTTAAAGCAGCAGCTGTCTGTATCAAGTGCTGCACCCAGTTGGAAAAATGCTCCTGACCGGTCGCGACGTTCCAGTTTGCGTAGCAAAACGTATTCGTCTTTAGCGTTTTGGATACTGGCGTAAGCGATTTCATTGATTACCACGACATCAGCAGCAAATTTGTGTGCTGGATGAAGCAGTCCGAAATGATTGACTGGATCATATGGCCACGCCTCCGATCGCACAGTTTGCAAAGATAAGTCGAGTTCGTAGATTGTGCCTCCCGGATTGCGACCGCGACGTCTCGGCCGCGATACAACAACATACAGGCACTGGTGCTTGTTTCTCTCGCGAGGAACAGGATTCACGACGGCGGAAATACTGAGAAAGTAGCGAGACAAGAAATCGCCGTGATCGGAAAAAATTTCTTTCATCGTTCTCAAACACTCCTGGATTTCTTTTTCGGAGAAGGTGTACCAACGGATTTCATCGAGGAGCCCACTTAAGCTGTGTACGTCGGTGTTCTTGTGGCTTTCACTCCATGAACAAAGCGCCTACGAAAAGGTTTTTTCCCGTTGGAGTTGTCGCTGCCAACTAATCGTAAACGTGTGTAGCTTACCTCGAAAACATCCATTTCGCAGTTACAAATTAGGAATGGTTGCCGTAAAATCAGCTGCAAGTCATCTGCTCTCAGTAATACAAAATCGCATGATTTCCGTAAAACCGGAAACATGTTGCCAGTTTGTGCTAATATTTTCTTTGATAAATCGTATCCCGGATTCCTTACGCTAAACTGAAGTAGTCGCAGACACCGCGCCACAGTGACTCCGAAATCTTTAATGAACTGCGCGCAAACTGCACTGACAGATTCCATCTGGTAATAATCAGCAGCGGCTAGACGGAAAAGCACGTTGTTTTTATTAAGCCCTTTAATGAACGTTTCCATATTCCAGTCCGGATGCAGAATTTGGACAACCGACTTGGCATTAGAAAATGGGGGTACCGGAAGTTCGATGATGACGAGCGATCGCTCTTGGAACCGACCGGCTCCGAACATGGCAGCAAAATAAGGGGATAAGGATGACAGTCGTTGCCGACTCGTCGTGATTAGCATTTCCTTAGCGCCGATACGAAAAGTTACTTCGTCCGACTGGCTTTCAGTATTAATTATGGCGAAAGTATCCATTTCATTCGCCCTGCTATCGCGAAAATACTGGCGAAAATGGCAATGTCAGGAAGGAAAATAAATTCATAAGAAATAGTATTCACTGCTATGCAGGCAGAAAACGGGCTATGCTATGAAAAGTGGGAGATACATATTAACGTGGGCACAGACTGTAACAGGTTTAGTGAGTCATCTGTAATAGTGCTAAATACCGGCACCCAAAAGACTTATAAATAGACGGAGAGTTCAACGAGTACGATATGCAGTTAACAACCTTACCCCACTATGACCACAACGAATGACTAATTTCTGCATAAATACCGGGAAGGTTTTGATAACGTGGTGACTGAGTAACATCCGCTGCTATAATACGGCCGCTATGGAAAACCAAATACCATCTTATAGTGTCCTGTGTCGGACTGAAAAAAACCCAGGTTCAGTGCGATCCTTCTTATGAACTGTCCTGAATTGTGTGGGAAATCCAAGCCGGTTCACCTTAACCAGTATTATGATCTGCACTAGATCACTATGGAATCTTCAGTTAAATGACTGAATTAGCAGGTATTTAGAAGGCATGATTTCGCTTTAAAAGGAAATCAACATATCTGCAGTAAGCTTTGGAGTTTGGACTTATCAAGCACATCCGACTTTATACCTGCACCTGGGTACACACACACCTTGCACGTATGTATTTTTGTATTGTCACTACTTCAGTATGTGAGATTCTGAGTATATAATCTTTTATACGGGTACTACCGGTATTTTTAATAAATTGAAATCATTCTTTCCTATGTACACTAGTCATATTCCCGTTACTTGATTCCTTATGGAATGCAAGTTACTTCAGCAACGAAAAACTGACTAATGCGGAACGTAGAGCTGGCTCCAGGTAGAACAAAGTTCACATCCGTCCAGACATTACTTTCAGCGTGGTATCTCTCCACTGAGCCTTGAGCACCGCGCCGTTTAGGATGGATTCTCCCGACAGCAACCAACTGGCCGTCCACGACGCACAAATGACGCTCACAACGACCGTTATGCATCGGAGCAATCGACTGCCACTCTCCGGTTTCCAGATGGTACCGATCACATTCGGTGGAGTAGACAGTGGTATCACTGTCGAAACCATCGACGAAATTGTCGTATCCGCCGGTCACATACAGATATCCATTCAGTTCGATCATGTCGCATCGGCCGCGTGGTGTACCGGTAGGCAAAGGACAATCTTCCCATTCGTCCAGTCGGACATCGTACCGTGCGAAGTGCAGTCTGAAGTAGAGACCGTCGAAGTGTACTTCAAAGTTTGCACTCACGCCATTATTTCGTAATGTACTATAAACCAATTTGAAAATACTGAGCTTCTACTTCAGCTTCCAAGAAACGTACCCGTTGTACATGTAAATATTACCATAGGATGCAAAGGTCACCGCGTCCTCGAATTCACGATATCTATCAAAACGGCAAACGTACAAACATGTACATGGTAAAGTCGATCATGTTTGTTACCACTGGAGCAAGATAAAAGAGACTGAAAATTACGTACGAAGGCGACGTCAATCTGAATTCTGGACTCGGCAAATGTCTTTCGTTCTCTCTTCCGTATACATCGTGAACGTAAAGATCCGATCCATCGAGAAAGTAATGCTTACCATCCATAACCACTTTATCTCGTTCATCCCCAACCTCACATACGGGCATTCCGCACGGCGGAATTTCAACGAAACAGTGTTTGGGTAACGCGGGACCCAGATGGAACATGGCCCCGGCGTGGGCGCGACGCTGCAGTTTATGTATGGATACCCGATCGAATTCCGGGTCGCGGCCTTTCTGAATCACAGCATACGCTTCCTGGTTGATCACAGCCAGGCGGGGATGGATGAAATGCGTTGCCCGGGGAACGTCTCGTGATTGGTTAGATCGTATGGCCAGTTCTCGGTTCGCACCGTGTGAAACCGCAAATCCAGTTCGCAGATTATGGAGGTGTGACCGATAGTGCGCTTGCTTTTAGGTAGAACGATCCGGATGTAAAGACACTCATGTTTATTGCGGTCGCGAGGTAATGGACTCGGAGTGATCGCCATAAGATTATCCAGTTGCAAACTCAGATCAGGAAAGCACTCTTCAAATTGTTGTCGACAGCGACTTTTTTGGCCTGCACTTAAAGCATACCATCGAATTTCAGATAGCATTGAATACACAGCTTGCTCATTGACGGTCTCCTTATTATGTTGCAGCCAGGAATGCAGTGCCTGAAAAGGCAAATTTATCCGGGGCCTCAAAGAGCGCACAATTTATCTCTAACAAGTTAACAACGTGAACGTACTTCGTAGACGTCCATTTCATCATTTATGTGCAGAAACGACCGCCGCATAACATAAAGGATCTCGTCTAACTTCCAGGAAACAAATTCCGGGGATTTCGTTATTATGGGAAAGGCGTTACCCACAACTTCGTCGACTTTTCTATCCAAACGGGAATTCGGTGAAGCGAGATGCACGTGAAGAAGAGTACAGCATCGCGCAGGTATTATACCGTATTCTCTGATAAACTCTGCAGTGGCCGATTTGGCCCACTGGATGTCGTAATAATTCGCAGCGGCATATAAAAAAACTGCATTACTTCTGGTAATAATGGCGCCTAGTTCGTCGACTGAGTCACACGTTAAAAGATGGATAACCGATTTTTCCGTGGAATACGGTGGTATCTGCAATTCGATTTCCCGTTGCAGGCCTTCTTTGAACTTTTCCAGATCGAGTAAGGTTGCAAAATACGGTGATTTTTCTGACATTTTTTTCCGGTCCAATTCTATGGATTTAACTGATCCCACAAGAAACTGGATTGTGCCCTGTTCCTCCATATCGAAAATGTCAAAACGAAGTTTCAACTCCGGCGCTAGTTTAGTTGAACAGAACGTGGCCAGAAAAAGCATATTCGGCGAGACTGTTACAAGAATATCAAGAAATATCAAGAATACTGCTGCAATAAGCCAGTTCAACAATACCAGAATGGGAACTTATTTTTAGGCAATACCTGATTCTGCCCGCAGTCGTGAATACGAATAACACTCCCTTCCTACCGGCGTTCATAAGTATGGAGCTTCCATACATGTGATAGGCGGTAGGAAAGGAATGGAGGTGCAGAGAAACCACAATATCTGTACAAGGGAATGCAGAAATAAGGAAGGCTCTACGAAAAATGCAATTGTTGCAGTCGTGTGCATGAACGGCATGTCTCGCTTACGATAGCCTGATACAGCAACAACAACGCCGGGACACTCTCCTAAGTATAAAGTTTACTGTACGACTTAATGCGATATGCCTTATTATTGCCAGTAAGTGCGAAATGTGTACCGCATGGCTACAGTTTCCTGTGCCGGCATAATCTACTTCAAATATCGATACTTTAGAAATTTTGCAAAGACACAAACCTATTCATCTGAGCCTCTGTAACCTGTACAAGTATGTACAGTAAATTGAGTCCATATGAGTACCACACTGGGCTGACCATGCTCAATAAATAAATCATTGCTCCTCGGAAACGGAGCTGTAAGAGATTGATGGAAAATCTGTGGACTGCATTGCAAAGTATACGCCGGTCGTTTTTTTAACTGAGATAAATTTGATTCCAAGAAATTTTGAGCTTTTGAAAAGACAATAGTAGAACCTGGCTATTTGTAACAGCGTTACAAACCGGTGGATTTGATTGTAGCACGATTAATTTTTCTTATAAATTTTCAGCAACGTATAAAGCAAGATGGTTGTTTGCTTTATTTAATAACAAGAAACAGCCTCGGCTTCGCCTCCGCGTTTCTTGCGGTACCCAGTCTATGGCCGGTTTAGTCAAATGATTTCGATCAGCTATTTAGTTACCATCTTATTCCTTCAGCGAAACTAAGCTAAAATGCAGATAGGATAAAAAGTGAATTTATGGCTTTTGTGCACTTATGGTTAGACGCATTCACTTTCACACAGAAGGAATTTTGTAAACTTCTCCCTCCAGACCCCAAGTCTACCAGGTACTAAATTTGAAATTTCCACCGAAAGAATGCTTGCAATAGATTCTGGTGGTAGTTCGGTCACTCATTTTCCTAGAGGGCTTCTGGACGGTAATGGAAGTTCGGTCACTTGCTCACCCTGCGGGGATCCATGCTCTGTACAGCAGCGGTAGTTGGGTCACTCGTTCACTTAGCAGGCTGTGTTTTGGACAGTAGTGGTACTTCGGTCACTCGTTCACCTAGCGGGCTGGGTGCTCTAGACAATAGTGGTACTTCGGTCACCCGTTCACCTAGCGGGCTGTGTGTTCTGGACAGTAGTGGTACTTCGGTCACTCGTTCACCTAGCGGGCTGTGTGCTCTAGACATTAGTCGTACTTCGGTCACCCGTTCACCTAGCGGGCTGTGTGTTCTGGACAGTAGTGGTACTTCGGTCACTCGTTCACCTAGCGGGCTGGGTGCTGTAGACAATAGTGGTACTTCGGTCACCCGTTCACCTAGCGGGCTGTGTGTTCTGGACAGTAGTGGTACTTCGGTCACTCGTTCACCTAGCGGGCTGTGTGCTCTGGACAACAGCGGTAGTTCGGTCACTCGTTCACCTAGCGGGCTGTGTGCTCTAGACAGTAGTGGTAGTTCGGTCACAGCGGGGGCTCTGTGAAACTAAGACCGTCTGGCCGGGTTTTGGAATATGAGCACTCAGATTACGGAAATGGTTTTTGCTGTTGGAATATGAGCACTCAGATTACGGAAATGGTTTTTGCTGATTCTATACGGGAAAGCTGGGTTCGTGTATCCCTTTTTATTTTTTGTGGTAAAGATCTAGAATGTAGATACCGTATTATTCCGTATTATGCGGAATAATTTAAGGACTGTACATGCTGATAATTAATCCCTGTCCTTAGTTTTGCTCGGACTGCAGTGAAAGGTCAGCCCGTTTAAACGATTACTATGGTCAGTTTGGTTTGCAGCTGCCTTCAAATGGCTTTAAACGAGAGTTCTTATTCTTAAGGGAAGTGGGCCGGTACATGGTACCAAATTCGTGTACATGCACGAAACCTTACACTTTCGCGCACTCCCAAACACATTTTGTTTCGGTTTATGACTTTCTGTAGCCCGAAGATTTGTATACACTGGCGTGAAAACCGTTTGTGCGCAACATCCGGTTCGGGAGTTATGGCTTTTAGAAAATTCCAAAAAGTTTAAATGCATTCAGGTGTACCAAAAGTCTCATTATGGACCGATCTCGCTCAAATTTTGCACGTAAATGCGCATGTCCAGGAAGTTCGTTTTTACACCAATCCAGGCTTCCATGATTTTTTTCAAATTTTAAAATGAATTTTAAACTTTTTGAAACTCATTTTAAAATTTGAAAAAATTGCTGGAACCATGGATCGGATCATCGGTGTAGAAATGTTCTTCGCGGTTATGTGCATTTACGTGCAAAATTTGAGGGAGATCGGTCGATAATGAGACTTTTGGTACACCTGAATGCATTTAAACTTTTTGGAATTTTCTTACAGCCATAACTCCCGAACCGGATGTTGGTACCATGTACCGGCCCACTTCCCTTAAGTCATGTTTTTGAGCGCTTTAAATTGTTAATGATTTATTTAAACAGAGTACCAGTTTAAATTTACTGGATTCGTGCTCCATGCAACAGGACTTTGAAATTGTTTTCAAAGTCACCTTGAGCTTTCAGCTCTACCGGCACCGGTGTCTCTGCACGGAAGCCGGAGCGGATAATTACCAAAACAAATGCATGTGACACAGTTTCCAGACATGCTGAATCGAATGGCGTTAGCAGTTTTTCGAATAATTTTTTGGTTTGTTCTGACCACATCGTACGGGGTTTTCCGTTGTAATATAGATCTTTACCTGGATAAATAACGAACGCTCTTAACTTCGTATGTGATTTCTTGTACGTGCAAGGTAAACATACAAACACATGCAGTTTCCAAATTTTGTTGCAGGCAGCAAGAAGCAAAGCGAAGTTTTTTATTAAGAATTAGGAGGGTGTGCTTGCTGCTTCATTCTTCGCGTGAAGCCTCTCCGCACCGCTCTTTTTGTTGCTTTAGACTGCTCCTATTGTTTTATAAAGGACCTTGAAGGTCATACTTACCGGTATGAGTAATAGAATTATACCCAGTCATAATACTGCATTGTCTACAGTAGCTAGTAGTACTATATAGCTACTAGCTAGTATCTAATTATAATATTGTTCTAATACTGTTATGCATAAAATCCTGCCACTATACCAATCTGCTTGTCAGGAATTCACTTTTCCAGCGCGCACTGCAAATACTCAGTAGTCAGTAGGTAATCACCAGGTACTTTTATCAGTCGTAACACAAAAGCGCAAAGCGCGTACGAAGTGTTCCTTAAGTGCGGTCATTCTACATAAGCGCTCAAAACGACTCTTAGTACTAAACAACCGGCAAATTATAATATCATAATGATGTCGACCGTTAGAAAACGCCCTTTAGTCAGCGGATGCTCACACGATAGGATGTTCTGGCAACACTTATGTGATAAGACATAGGGTAGCATTTACAGAACAGACTGTTCTGAACAGTTACAGCGGAATGACGCTACGTTAAAAAAAATGCGGCAACATAACAGTGGCCTAATTTCATTTCATAATTTAACTGATTTTCTATTGTCTAGTCGAACATATATCATGAGAGTTACAATAGATGTAGTGATCTTCTTCTTGTGCCAGGTAGGTTGCACTGTTAAGGTCATAAGTTACTTTCGCTTCGGTTTGTAATAATCGACCGGAGCGCAGCGAAGGTCCTCTAATTCAGCAAAAACGAAAAAGTGTCTGTCTGTCCATGTGTCTGTTTGTCCCAAAAGAGCCCCGATGACGTCATTACTTCCCGTTCTGTATGACGTCAGTCACCACTAAATGTTCGTGATGCTTTCCCAAGTTTGAAAATACCTGGTTAAAAGCTGTGTCTGCCCATCTGCCTGTCTGTCCCGGAAGTGGAATGCAACTTCGTTATTTCGCAATCTCTTTCTTGTAGCGCTACTACCTTATCAGGTCATTACTTTTTTGTATGCGGTCATTTCATTTTTGGTCATTTCAGATTTGTATGCTAACGTAACCATAAACATGTGATGCCTCCTTTCCTGGATAAATTTTTTCACGGGAAGTAAAAAATTGCACATTATAGGGTACTGAAAGCTGTTAGACCTCAGAGGTCGGCAAATCCACCAATGGAGGCATAATCGCTGCTTTCCTATCTCAGCCAACCACTACATTTGAAAAATGCAATTTTTTAAGTCGTTTCATACGTTTTGCTATCATTGTCGTCAAATTCTTGCTCTCTGCCTAAGAAATCAAATAGGATAAAGGGCACATGAAATCAAATAGGAAATTACAGGAAGAAAACCTCAGTAAACTTCACGAATCATAATGTACGGCTTGGGCTCAGTCCAACAGTAACTGAATTTTAAAAAAATAAAACGAGAAAACAAGGACGTGAAAGCCGCTTGCGGGCTGCGATAACAAAAAACTTTGTGTACTGCCATTTTCGAAAACTTCACTCATCATTTCGCAACATTACTTTCGGTTACGTTTCCGTTCCCTTCTACGTGCATAAAGTCGGAAAAAACGGATCAAGGAAGGAAATCATTCAGCCGCTTAAAATATATTTCTGAATACTGTATACGCCTCGGTAAAGTTGAATGTTTACATTGCAACAGCTTGTCAAGTAAAGACGCATGAGTGCATCACAAACGAAAGGTTAACCAGTAACCACATCCAATTCTTAACGTCGCGCTCCGGTCTACCAATGCACGCAAAAAGTGCATTTTCCTAGTTTTAAGGTGAATATGTACTTAGAGCCTGTGCCATCCGCAGCGCTTCTACGACGACTTGAACATGAACCCTGCTCGATATGTTCAGATATGTTCAGATTTATAAATCTCAGCATTTAAATAAAATATACCAGAAGGCTACAAAGTTGTGTTAAGTGTCGCTTACCGGATGAGCACCGTGGCGTGAACGCCGTGCAGTTACTGAAGTACCGCAGCACCCCGCCGCAATCCTTCCTTAAATCCTACTCGCGCCCGGCCATTTTGTCGCCCACGCAGTCTCCTTCTCGGCCACCTCCGTTCAGGCAAAAGCATGCCCCAGTTAGGCATATGCCGGCGAACCGGCGCCGTCATCTTTATCAGGAATACCGCTTGTACACCAGATGCACATCCAGGACATAGTGGATCCCCTGCAGCGGATCCAGGCGCTGGCAGCTCCTTGAAGTCGATGACACGGCCGCGCTGCTCCGAGTAATGGTTGATCTGCTCCATCAGCTGCATCACCAGGTTGTTGATGGTCCGTTTCTGTGAGGAGCGCAGCTCCCGTTTCGAGTTGTAGTCTAGGTGGGAGTAAAAGGATTTGGTGAAGAAGTCCCACTTCGTCGGATTTCTGTGGTCGGAAGAGGAGTAAGGACGGTGGATGGAGTAAAGCATCGCTGCATAAAAACCCATCATAGCAAAGATATGCAGCAAAGATATGCAGGAAATTTGTCGGAATATAAAACAAGATACTTGAGTGAATCACATAAAATAATAAACGAAAAATCATATTGGTACAGGCGACGCTAATGAGCTTTTTTTTAAGGCGTCTTGCAGTATGAAATGACACAAACTGTGCTGATTAATAACAGCGATTTAGTACGGCTAGAAAATGCAGTGACAAATAAAAGTAACGACGAACATTCAAAAAATGAACCACTCTACGATGTAATTAAAGCGCTACTGTTAAAACGAGTTTCCCGGTTATAGGTGAGCGCTTTCTTGACTTCACATCAGCCGTTACACTACAAATTCGTCAACATCATTCGCCGTCATTCTGTGACAACCTGTAAACTCGACATGCCCCGGTGATATTTACCATCACCGTTTCCTCACGCACCTAATGCCCTTTTGAAAATGCGTGCCTTCATCCAGCAGGACGTTCATGTCGTATGTCTGCCGGGATTTCTTTGTGGACACTGGCCAGGGTATTGGCTGTGTAATAGTTGTGGATCCGATGGAGATGGTGCGCTGTCTTCACCGGATGCCCTTTCACTACGATATCTACCACAAACAAATTATATATCACTTGCTATCAACGGATAGTCTTAAAAGTTTACGCAAACCTGCACACTTTTAAAGAATATTACTTACCTGCAAGCAGTTAACAGCAGTTAATGCTGCCCAAAATTATGGAAAAATAAAAATAAATAAATTAATGTCTGAATGAAATAGATTCAAAATCAAGAAACAACACATCAAAAAGTCCAGAAAAATTTTACCGTGCTGACTGAAAACAATAAACGTCGATGTACCTGGTACGACCAGACACAAGATACGCCGGCAAAATTCTGTATAGACCGACCAATCTCCACATCCTCGTGGGTGCTCAGTAAATGCTTCAGACAGTACTTAATATGGGGCGCCATTAAACGGAGTGCCGCCCGGCTGAACAAAAATGCCATACAAAAATACCGCCCATACAAAAATTCTCCCTGCAAAAAACATCAACCATGTAAATCTTAGCAATAAGTAAACTAAATCTAACATAATAATTTGCTCGTTGCAAACATCATCGCAGAATCTATTAACAATAAGTTGAAAATATTTAAAATCAATAAAAAATAAAAAAGTTATTATTGATACGTATTGCCGAGGCTGAAATACGGGGTGGAACTTTTGAAGTCTGTGAATATTTCTGTTCGAACAAAGTTTCAAATAAATATGGAAACGATTTGTGGAAGTCAGAAAAATGGTATTTAATTTTTTGAATAAATATCTGAAAAACTCAAGTCAGTTTTAACATAAATGGTAGTTCAAGTAGTAAATGTTTCTGCCATTTTCTGATTTCCATACCCCGGCGCGGATTCAGCAGCCCGAACTCTTCCTTCGTTTCCAGTCCCGCTTGTCCAATAAACAGCGGCTTGCTAATACTTAACGACGCCAGAATACTCCAATTTATCCGTCCTCACGTACACTGTACACATCATCATCTGCCCATAAACCACTCAAATTCCTCCAGAAAATGATCGAACATGTACAGTACTTGAGCATCATGAAGGATTTGCATGCGATCTTAAATGGTTTCTTAACAGCATCACTGCAAAATGGAATGACTGCAAAAAGCGATTAGCACTGCGGATTTCATACGACAAAAATTTCCACACTGCTGCAACACGTAAAAATTAAGGCTCAAAAACATTCAAAAATTAATTGAAAAATTCAATTCAGTTAATTGAAGTGAAATTCTAAAATTAATTGTAAGATATCAAAGCAACTGTGTAATTATATTTTCTGGCTTCTAAGTTACTGTAAAAGTTTTGGTGAGGAAAAATAAAAGTTCCGCAGCTGAAAAAACTGAAAGTTAGATATAACAGACTGTACGCGTGCTATTACTTTATTAAAAAATAAGTTCATTTGATTAATATTTAAATATTCAAAATTGTTAGAAGTGTTTTACGAAAAATAATTATGACATTTATGGCGATACGTATTACGGGGTACTGTTATCCGGTTTTCGGTACGTATAAAGCATTAAACCACCGAAGTACAAGTACATACAATTTAACAATTACCAGTACATACTGTACTTGTACGAGTATGAGTGCACGAGTATCGTATCACTATCCTGTGATCACAAGTTCACGACCATCACACTGGCAAGTTGATTTTCCTGGACTTCTACATTTTTTTGATTTTTTACAATTTTACTGTACTTGAATAACTTATAACTTGATCTATAAATTCTATCGTTCTATCGACGGCCGAATTAATTTCAACAATCTATCACTGATTTTTCGGGTTGTCGCTAGATGTTCATAATTGTTGAGTGCCTGCCCTGGCAACGCAGTAGGCTGTGCGCGACTGTGTGGCTCTAATCGCCAGCATTATGAGTGCGCGCAGGAAGCCAGCCGTTCGCAGCTCACACAGTCGCTCCCGACCATCCCCTTCACACATCCCGGAGATGCACGACACCCACTCCCCCGTTGCCACTCCCATCTCCGTCGACAGTCTCCTGCGGTAATCACACAATTCATCCGTTCTCGGAGCTCAACGAGTTACTGTTGTTGTTGTTGTTGCCTCGTAGTGGGTTCGCCGAGGTGCAGAAGAAGTTCTCTCATCTCCTGAACGTTATCGGTGCGATTCAGAATAAATCTGAGGGTATGATATGGCAGAGCGTGTTGAGTGATGGTTGGGGGTATCGTAGATCAGAAGGAGAAGGTGGGGCTGCTGACGGAATCCCTGGGCGCCTTCAGTGTGGGTATGCAGAGTCTGCGCGACATCGCCGCGGCCATTATCGAGAAAGATCCGCATTTTGCCTGCTTGAACCGCGTGTTTGAGGATTTGTGAGTGGTTCTCTTTCGCAGTAGAATATTTCAACCGTTTTTCATATTTTTGTCAGTGCATTCTAATTTTATGTTTAATTACGCTAGAAGTTTTTGCAAAAATTCTGTTTAAAAATTAATAGTGATTTTTTATTTATTGCTGATTTTCTCATAGGCAGAAATAATTTAAAAAATGTGGATTTATTTTGCAGGTGGCTGGTAGGATTTACGCGACCGCTGAAGCTGTCTAACAAATTGGAGAATTTGATTAAAATCCAGGATGCAGCGTTTTCCCTGCAAGCGTGGCGGAATGCGTTCATGTTGGAATGGCAAGGATTTCTCTGCAATGTACGTACTGTAAATTATGACACTGTGCAATTTTAAATTTTTTTCTATGTATTTTATGTGTGAAGTTTGCATGCCTGTAGGGATTTTTTATCAGTGGTAATTTCCAACGATATTTGAAAAGTGTTGCATGATAATTACAATTTATGCTATGTACGAGTATTAATTAAAAAGTCAATTTATTTATTTACTAATTTATTATTAATTAGCCAGCAAATTTATTGATTAATTTTTTGAATTCTACGTTAGGTTACCCTCAACTTTGTTTATCTTGTGAATTCTTGATACTTTGTTAGTTTTTATAATTTGTTGGTAAACGCGAACATTTGTTGCACGACGTTGTAGTGGGCGGTCGAGTAGTACATTGAGTAGGCGTGTTTGTATATTATTAATCAGAATAATTCTTTCATTGAGAACAAGCGTGAAAGTGGACGAAGATTGATCTGTCAGCTGTGTGTTGTTCATAGCTGCGGGACATGATTAGCATCTATCAGCATCCGCAGACCGCGCTGCGTCTCTTGCCCAGTCTACGCCAGACACTTCCGGCCATGTACGCCACCAAGGAAGGTTCGTTTCCCCTTTGTGTTCTAGTTCATGTGTTCTTGTTTCTTAATGAACTTGTTAGGCTGTATTGTTCTTCGAATTTTTCTCTTTCAGTTTGATTTTGAAGATTGACAGTTTCTATCAGTTTTTTTGGTTTGAATTTAATCGACAACGTTTTTCAACTCGTGTTTAAAAGAAACGATCAGGTTATGCAGGATTTTGGTTTCTTAATGGTTTCTTGATTGTCTTCAGAACAATTACTGTAGTACGTTATTATGGTAATAATTATGACGCGTCGTTGACTGACTTTGTAACTTTGCGCGTGTGAGTTTTCCTTGATGGCGTGAACTGCTGCTGTACGATTTTATCTCGCTTTTTGGAATTAAATAATCATGAAACTGATGGAATCTTTTTTTTTGTTTTTGTTAGGCTTTTTAAGTGTTTGCTTGTTGTTAATATGAAAATTTGCCTATGATTTTTATAATAAGTCTTTATACTTGATTCTTGATAATATATCTTAATTGATTTTTTTAATAATAATTATTAAAAAAATCAGTTAAGATATTATTATTAGTATTTATGTATTTCAAATCACAGTATGTAGCCGGCAATAAGTGATATGTGATCACTCTCTTTTATTATTTTTATTATTGTTGATACGATGTTACAGTATCATACTTTAGGAAATACATGATTTTTTTAATGTTATAATTTAAATGCCGTCTAGCTAAACTACTCGTATAGTCGTATTAGAATTGAGAAAATGGCATCAGCCCGTTTGTGACATCGAAATGACTGGTACAATTGGTAAAAATTACACTAATTAAAATTAACAAAAAATAATTTAAATTAACTAATTTAAATTAATAAAATAAGGAAGTCATTATTGTAATGAATTACACTAAATAAGTGAATAAAATTACACCAAATTACTTTGTACAGCCCAAGTCAACCCATTAAACCATCTGCCGCTGAATTATATCCTCCGCGACATCGCCCTGTGTCTGGCGCGCACGTACTCGCACGAGAACAGCGAACTGGAGAAGTCGTGGATGCGCCGCGCCCTGGACATCAACCAGCGCCTGCGCGGCATCCCGTATCGCGATGCCTGGGAACAGCTGGTTAGCAAGAGCGAAAAAGAACGCCAAGACACGCCGAAAGAGCAGCAGGCGGTCCGCATCCTCGGGCGGGAGGGAGACTTCCCGTACTTCGTTATGGAGCTGGAGCCGACGGGACAGGAGGTGGTTACGGAGACTGAGCAACGCCGGGAGGAGATGGAGAAGCCGGTGAATGGCGCGCAGGACGTTGGATTTACAGCGGATCATGGCGTGTGGACTGCGGAACCGGAGAAGCCGCCGAACGGAGCGAAGAGCGTGGATTATGGAGCGGTGGTGGCCAGTCAACGCGATTTGCAGGTTCGTTCCGTTCTGAATAAAGCGCATTTAAGGCAGCGTATTTAATATTTCTTTGTATCAGAACTGGGCTAATTCTGCGTTAGAATTTAAGATTGCCAATTTTCAAAGAAAGAGTATAAAAATTTAATTAAAATACTATCAACTTAAAATATTTAATCAATTTAAAATATAATAACACTTTAAATTTTAAGAAAAATGTTTATTTAAACCTGTTATTGCTAAGAAGAGACACGATTGTGGTATGAGTTTTCTGATAATTAATTGTGTTGGAATCTGACGCTGCGTAAGCATAAAAAATAGTCGCAACACGCCGCCGAAAAGCGAATTCACAAATTACGAATAAAGCACTTTTAAAAAATGGCACAGTCGATAAGAATTCGATTGCATTTCGTACTGATAATTTTTCTGAAAATCTGTTATTGATTGCTGCTTTCGTACGCATTTTTCAAATATTTGATTTGCATTTATTTTGGATGTTAAATCTCTTCGCGTTTTCCTTCAGTAAAAATTATATTTTTGACAAATGCATAGCTACCATACGTGAGCTTACGAAAGTAAATCGATTAATAAAGTAAATCGATTTAGTCGGACTTCGGTGATCGTAGATTTTTTTCAGCTTTGTTGTTCGTCTGCTTCGAAACACATTTTGATTTTCATATGTGGCAGGTGCTGCGTATGTTCAAGTCCCGTAACGCCTTCATCCAGGGACTACTGCAGGCGGCGGAAGATCAGGGCCACATTAGTCCGGATGGGAATGAGGCGTAAAACCATACAACATCCTCTAACCAGGACAACTAATTCGCCGGAAGTGACAATATTCCTGTGGCCGTGACAATGCATGCCATTGACTGCTGGAGCGATGGACGTTGCAACAGCGTGGATGTGTCCATCTTTCTCCCGAATGGAGGACGGCGTCGATGGTAATGACGCCCGTGACGGAGCATTGGTGAAAACCAGTCGCTAATTGTTTTGGATTGATTTTTGGACAATGAGTTTTCGTTGTGGAACACACGGGAAAAGGGTGTGTTGTGTGGTGTTGGTTATGTTTTGTTGTGTGTTTGTCGCATTGGCATAACGTTTGGGTTTTTGGTTGAGGATTGATTGGATATTTAATGCTGATATTGAGATCTTATTGTCTGATTTTGGCATTGATACCTGCTGCATGTCGTTTAGATTTTGATCTGGCATTTTATAAAATTTAGGTGAGAAGTGCTACAATAATCTACAATAATACGAAATACTTGCACCAGAAATACTGACATATTTCACACAAATACAGTAGTAAAAAATACTGGAATCCGAAGTGAAAGCAGTGCTTACCGTAAGCAAATGTCAAATGTTATTGACGAGTTCAAGAAGCAGCAGTATAGCAGAACGTAGTGCGATGGCTGATATATCAAACATACTAGTCGTCAGTTCATTAGAAGATCCCGTGTATTTACGGAATAACGCGGTTTTAATAAGGCCGCATTTTTCGCAAAATTTAATAGTTATGTGATTTGTATTACTTACATATTTTTTTCTTCAATTCAATTGAGATTTGTCTGTGTACGGCACAATATAGTCAGCACAAATATTCAGACATAAAATTACCTAATAATTTTCACTCGTTTTGTCGTTTCCTTGTTCTTGGAAACGGTCCGTTCAGCTTTGCCGGCGCTGTTATCAAACACACCGCCGCCGGGCTACACGATCGCTGTTGCGAAATTAATTTCAGAGTGATTTGCAATTAAATCAAAATTTATCGCGGTAGATTTGATGGTCAAGGAAGTTCGCTAGACGCTCATGAGAAATGTTGTTCCCATCAATTGTTGTGCAACGCAAAAATTTTGAATGTGCAACAACAACAAAATTAAATTAATCATAACGTCTCAGTAATCTTCATTTAAAGGAAATTCTTCCGAATTCTGCGTAGTAATTCTACGATATTGCCGTATACCTTGAAATTTCGTTATATACAAAAAGTACTACCTTTTGTCATCTCGTATAGTTTTTCTCTCTCGTGAGACTTAGGTTCATATTGAGAAATCGCTTAATATTGGTAAATAGGTTAATAAATAGGTTTATATTGAGCAACCTATGAGCTTTACAGCTTCTCAGGGAATGTGTCATTGGCAAATTAAACGCTCGTATAAAAAACGTACCTCGGCATGTTTTCCTTCAAAGGTGTTAGAAAGCCACGGAATTTTTAGCAGCAAGCTTGACCATTGGACAATATTACACGATGTTAATAATTATATTTATTCGTCCGCAGATGTACAAATAAAATACTCCCTACCACAATTTTGCTTGGGATGTATATATGTACCGTAATAAACACGTGCCATGCATTTCGTACTTCCTACATTTTAAAGATAATAATTATTGTTTAACGGTACACAGAAAAATCGTTGGTATATTAAAAATAATTTTGTGGTTGTTGTTGGTACATTAAAAATAATTGTTGTCTACCGATTTACCGGTATGGTTGTTCACCGGTACTTGAAGCACATAAAATTAGGCAAGCGTTAGAAACGACGAATGACGCTATTTTCGTGTCTGTAAAAGGCATACCTTATCTGATTCACAGTCTACTTCAGATTCACAGGAAAATATCTATCGCATTTGCGTATCTGGAAAATTTTTGTGATGCATCTGTCGAAGCACATTATTTTAATGCTATGCTTGACGTAAACAAAACTGATTATGTTATATATGTGTACATATTCAGTATGCACTATGTAGTTAACAAGACACTACTCGCCGGCGTGTAATTATGGCCTAATGAGTAAGGCTCATTAGCCGACTCCGAGGTTATGGCTCATTAGCCGACTCCGAGGTTAGCGCTCGCATTAAATCTTAGCATTTTAAACTGTTTCAACGAGCGTCTGATTAACTCGCCAAATCCGATCGCTATCTTGTGCAAATTAATAGCAGTACTAGCATAACACATCAAAAATGAGCAAAATTTATGTTTCACAGTATTACGTATAGCGCGGATATGTCTGCAACCGGCAGTCCGGCACTGTGCGTTCAATGCCAGCGAATCTGTTAACGACACTACCGTGTACACGGGCGCGCCAATTTGGACCAATCCAGCGTACGGCGCGGCTGTTTGGCCGTTGACACTGCACTTGATTTCATGGCTAATTAACACACAGCTTTTGATGGCTAATGAAAATTACGGCAGCTTGGTGTTCGGGCCTTTATAATGCCACGCCGGGAACGGTTAATAATCGTCAGTCCGCTTTACTCTTTCCATCCAGTTGCTTAATCTGTAATCCGAGCAGCGTATAAAATCAGACGGTGCACTGAGGATTTCCACCATTTCGCCGTTATCTTTTATTTAATTCCATAAATTTTACCATGAAAAACATCATCTTTTTCGCTGCTGTCCTCGGAGTTGCTTATGCGACGCCGGTAAGCGTTATAATTTGGTCTATTTCACTGCCAGTTTTATGGATATTTAATTCGAATTTACCTGCTCACGCTTTATTTATGCACCGTACTTTGATTAAAGGTCAAACGCGCTGCCAGCGCCCAGAACCCGCCGGTATGGACGGCTCTTGACCAGTTAAGCGGCCGGAATAAACTGAGCACAGCGGATATCTATAATCTGTATGTCAGCGCTCGCGCTGGGCAGGATTATCCCACATATAACGCTAACGATATTCCCCAAGGAAACTGGGATTGCTCTGCTCACCAACCGGGTTATTATGCCGACACTGACTTCAAGTGCCAAGGTACGCGTGCGACTCTTCAGCCCGCAATAATTTACACCAATAAATGACAGAATTACTGGAAGCAATGGTGACATTTCCCCCGCTGTGAATGTGGCTTGTACGCTTAATGATCTACACACATTACCATTCGTAATCGTGTTCTTCCGTAGTTGTTCGCCGATGTGACGTCAACGGCAACATGACCTCGTACATCTGCCCCAACATGACGGTAAGTATAATTCGTTTTATTCCCATCAGTTTGTGCTACGAAAAGGGAAATAATGCATACCCTTGACGTTTAGCTGTTCAACCAAATCACCCTGGTCTGCCACTGGTTCTGGGAGGTCGACTGCAGCCAAGCTGCCAAATTCTACGACTACAGCAACAGCCGTCTGTACCAGGGCGCTGATGTGCCGCTGCTGGACAACCAGGACAACTACCAGGCGGTCAATCTGGCGCAAGGCCGATCGGATCTGTACACTGTCACATGGGACGTTAAGCCCATCGCCGGGAAAGCGAGGAAATAGTGATGGATGACATATGATCTTATTGCACTTTTTTGTGATTTGTTTGTACCGTTTTCTAGCACAAGCGATTCCGATAGGCTTTGCTCACATTGTTCTCATAATATTCTGAATGTTCTGGCGCCTGTAAATTTCTCACCAGTTGCATTAAAACTGTATAAGACTATAAGTGGTGTTATCAAGGGCGATTGTGAGACAGTGAGGATCGTACTTACAATAAAGTGATCAACCCTACTTTTACGAGTATTTGGTAATAACTTTGCACAAGTTCAACAGGTTATCCTCTCCAATTCAACCTACGGTTTTAATTTTTAAATACATATACATGTACTGTGACTGAAATTGCTTAGGTGTGAAAACTGAAACGAAAATAGAAAAAGTCAAAGTTACAGATTCTAAATCAAATTGCAAAGAATTTCCCTGTTTTCCGATGTAATCATTCTGCATGCCTTTCGTTCATCGTATTCATAATTTTATATCAAGTTTAGAGGAGAGAAAGCAAAACACTTGTACAGGCAAATTGCTCACAAATAAGCCTACAACGGATGCAGGTTTCTTTGACGTGCAAACGAACCGGCGTCTGTAGCGCGCGGCCTAGACAGAGAAAATTAACTTGCAGTTCTTAAACTTCAATTGCGTTTTGAAAACCTGAAGAAAATTTTTGTGAAGCTTTCAGTTTTCTCACAGTTTTGCAGCCGTTTATCAGTTTCCACTTTGAGCGGAAACTGAGGTCAAGATCACCAGTGCATATGTCAGCTAAGGAGCAGCAACTAGGTGTATCTGTAGATAATCGGCAGGGCTACCCAACTGGCAGAGAACGGCAATCTCTGGCACATTATTGATACGCATTTGGGCCTGCTTGATACTGCACCCGGTATGTCGTTCTTCACGAAATCCCAGCATTATAAAATCCCTTACCTTTCCGGTCGGAAGGGTAATCCTTCAGTACTGATGGAAGCGCTACTATCGACCGCGTTTGCTGTCGGACTTTTGCTATTGATCGCCGCATCACTGTAAATAATTGAGATGGCGTGATCGAAAAGGTTGGAGCTTCTACTATATTTCGAATTGCGGTGGGTTTTGTACCGCTAATGCTCCATCTGTATTTGAAAGAATTAGTGAGGCAACAAGAAACAGCTTCTGCGAGGACATGAAACAGCGAGATTCTTCAGCCGAGTTACTTGAAGAGCTAAACAAGCTTGACCCGGAACTCGACGAGATGAACAAGGGATCGTCAGGTACACGCAGCTATTTATGCCGAACTGTAAAATGCAGTCGGTTGTTTTGCGACACCTGTATTATGTGATCGTTGTTCCGATCGCATCAACTTTCTCCGGTGGGACATTGGGATCGTTATGCAGTCAACGTTATGATGATTTCGTTAATCAAGTGGTAGTCAGACAATGCTCAGTGATATGGATGTTATTTACGAATCGATGGTTACACCCAAAAAAATGTTTGTCGATGGTGTCAGCAGAAACCTACAGGTGCGAAATGGAGGCTCCTCACCACATACATATTATGTCACGCCCAAGTGACTTTAAGTAAGAGAATTGTCGACTGGTTGTACTGCGCATCCATATAGCTTCCCGTCAAGGTTCAACGACAGACTGTTTTAGGGAACAGCGGCACTAATTTGCGCATTTCATCCGCTTATTCGTAAATTCGTCACTATACGTACGGTGCATGGTTATCACGATTTTATTAGGCTTACCGCTTACGTGATCTCGGTCAGCCATCATGCTTCGATTTACATGAAAATAATGTAAATAAACAGATACCTTGATTTTGCCGATTCCTATAACTAACCTAAACCTTATGAACTCACCTTACCTATGGATTTCAACGAAGCTCTGTACGCGCAATGCAAATCCTGGCGTTACTTGTCTGCACGGTTCTGCCCCAACAATTCGATGTCGATGACAGCAATAGCACACGGCCAACCGATGTGCACGGGAATAACGTCATCACTGTCAGCGTTTCCGATAGTCCGCCATGGAACTTTGAAAGTCCACCCGGTTCAGGGTGTTTTTGTGGAATATCCGTAACCCTGTTAACTTCAATTGGTCAAGCGCTTGGATTTCGGTAAAAACTTTATTTTTTAAGTTACGCGTACAAGTATATACTCGTATTTAATACACATAGCTCTGCTATCCCACGGGACTAGGCTGCGGCTTTCTTACAGGTTTCGATTACTGCCCACATCTTCCCTGATCACCGTTAAGACATCACGTAATACCACCTATGAAGGAGCTCCCGCTGATCTGTTCATGGGGAAGGTCATCATGAGCCTGTGTCCGCTAGCAATTACACCATCTCGCGCCGAGGACTTTCATCTTGTCAATGGATATATGTTGAGAGATTACAATATCGCCGTCCATGAAAGATGGCTGGTGGATTCAGCAATTACTGAAAAGTCGCTAATCACAACACTCTTCCGTACGGCAATATCCGATACATGGCCAGGATTGCTTCTCTCCGCAATAAGTGTAATCCTGGCAATTTTTGCCGCACGTGTGTCGAGCAAAAGGCAACTTTCTAGCGCAGTACCGGCAAATCAAAGCCTAGCAAAACCAAAGGTGTTACAACTAGTTGGCTTATTGAAACGAATCTTGTCTACCATGGAGGCTCTGATCTTTAGCTTTTTCAGCCAAGGTAAGGCCAAGCTACATAGTAAGTTGAACATCAGCAAAGTCTGCCAATTGAAATGTGTTTTTATTCGTAGTGGATATCGAACGTCCGCGGTTTGCCGGTGCTCAGCTGGCAGTAATGCAGTGGGTTATCTATTCTTATTTTGTAATATGCCTGATGAATGCCCACGTTAGTTCCAGTTTACTGGGATCAACACTGACGGTGCCATTTCATACTCTCACTGGGTTCGCGCGCTCCGGTTTTGATCTGTTTCTCTTAGACACTACGGCGAGCGCGGGTTTGATGGTAAGTACAAAAAAAACTTCGGTAATATGCATCGCGTCAGCAGTACTTTTACTATTTACAGTTCTATCTGATGTATGAAACAGAAATGAATCGTCACTGTTTAGACAGTTGAGCAGAGTCAGTTTATATCCGTCAACGATTAAACGTTTTAACTACGACAAGCCACTTAAATTCGAGTACTTTTACACCTTATTACACTTCTTTCAAAGTTGAATTTGACTCATTTCTTTTAGCATATCTCCACTTTGGTGCCGCTGATCCCAACAACGCGTCATTACAATGCGAAAACGTCTTACGATATGTTTCTTTCTTTCTTTAGGTTAATGGGTTACCTGCTACCGAGATGAAACTATTAAACTATTAAACTATGCAGCTAACTTGTCGAAAACTGAGCGAATCGCAGTAATCAGTAACAGTCTTCTGGAGGAGTCACCACGAATGCTGAAAGAAGGGTTTATTCTGGCAGTTGACTCCATCTCTCGCACGTTTATATCTCCTTGTCAATTTCTACATGGAACCGATAGTATTATTACAAGAAAGATCGATCGTATGTAAGTGACTTTCGTTTGAGGTATGCCCTGCGCTGACATTGTAGATTTACCACATCCATTATGTAGTTACTGGTTACAGAATTTTTATTTCAAAATATTACAGAGTGACACAGATGGCCGAAAATGGCTACCTTCGGCATGTAGTTGATATGTATTTTGGCGTGGTGTATTCGGCCCATGGGGTGCCCTACGCTGCAAAACCCGACTCGAACCGGAAAGGTACCAGTTCAATACGGATGGAAGTGTTGCGGTCAAGCGTTTATGTGTCTGCAGGTCTATTTTTGACCGCGGTCGCGCTTTTGCTAATTGAGATAATTTGGCGCAAAAACTGGTTCACAGTATTGCGATCTAAAATTTTACGTGCGATTCAAAATTGATTTTGTAAGTCTTGTTGTTCTGTTTCGATGTGCTGGATCTGTAATTGTTTGATTTTTGTTTTTATCTATTTTTATTTTGGGCTGAGCAATTGCGGCGGTATAAGCTTCCAATATGAAAGTGACCTTTGCATGACTTTTAAAAAGGAGGAGTACAACTCGAAAGTGATCTTTGCATGACCTTTAAAAAGGAGTAGTACAACTCGAAACCGCTTTGGCAGAGTTATAATTATTACTTTTAATTTATTGGAAATGCCTACCACACAGTTACAGCGCTTCATGAAAACGGTTCTCACAAGAAAACCTTGAGACCCAAGAAATGTCATGTACAAACTACGTACAAACATTAGGCCACTACATCATCAGCATCGTAGAAGGTTTTTCCTGTCACAATCACTAACGCAGCCTTTCCCTTTTTTAGTACAACAACTTTGCACTAGTCGTCAGCCGTAAAAATTTTGCTAGTCTGTGATTTCCGATAAAGTAACGAAAATTCTTGAGTAAATTTCCCAAGTTGGCAAATTCCCTTCGCTTCGAAAATATGATCTTTCTGAATTGGTTAAGTTGCTACGTGACGGTAACAAGATGAACACCCAAAAATTGCTACGTTTTTTGGTTTGAACGGTATGTTTGGATATAACGTGCAACTTTAACCCAAACGTTCGACTTCGAAACACCGTAAAAGTTGCTAAAACTCTGCAAGCTATAAAAATAATAATAGTAAACTGACAAGGTACTGTATGCGCATTACTCGTACGCAAGTAAAAAACAAGGATTGAAAATTCATGAACCAAGTACTGAACAACAAGCACTGTATTCGCTTGAAATAAAAAGTAAATAGTATTATAAAAAGCGTATCTGTACACAAGCAGAAGTATGTGCAGAAATTATGACAGTACACACTATACAGTACACTTACAATAATAAGACATTGTTATTCTCATTGTATTAGTACAGTAAGTGTTGATTCAAATCACTATGTCTTGATTTACTTTTCTGAATTTTTGCAATGTCCATAATTTCTCAGTCTTTTCCCTCGTTAGTATTATCAGCGCATTTTCTCTTTACTTTCTCGTGTCATTAACCTCAGCCCCACTTGAAATTTTTACCTTCATGGAAAATTCGTCGATTCGTGTTACAAAATAACTGGCTGATCTTTGGTAATGCAATGTTGCAGCTGCACGCCATCGATCCCCGTTCACCAGCCTCCGCCAGGCTACCAAATCCATCCTGCCGTTTTCTGTTTAGACCTCGAGCTGGGCCCCCGTCTAGGTGGCCGGCCCAAAACCATCTTCCATCTGTTCTACGACGCCATCACCAAATGCGCCCAGTTCCCAGATCCCCGCTGCTCCCCCGTGGTGCCCCTCATCCGCCAGACCAACTGGATCCTCCTCAACTGGAAATCACTGGCGTCCTGTGAACAGATTCTCATATCCGATGATTTTCAGCAGAGTCTGGCCAAGACAACGGACTGTGTGATCGTCGTGGCGGAGGGTGTGGCTTACGTGACGGATACGGTGCGACATGCGGTGCGGGCGTTCTTGCGACACAAATTTATGGAACATAAACCAGTGCTCTTCCTGTTCGCTAACCGCATGGTGGAAACGCTGAGCCCGAGATTTCGCCAAAAGGTCGATGAATCATTGAAGGACCTGGCCGTCGATGTGATACTTGGCGAATCGCGGCAGAACAGCGGTTTAGTGATGGCCAAAGGATGTCGCATGATGACCGTGGTGACAGTTGACAAAGATGTTCAAGATGCGATCCGAAGATTATGGATGCTCTCAGGAACATCCGGGCCAAAGACGGTTGAGCCTTGTCACTGCTCGCTGGAGTGGGACTCTCCATCGCCACACCGGATACCAAAGGTCACGCGGAAACGCGGCAAAACCTTTAGAAAAGTGAGATCGGCGGAGTTTGTGCAGGACGGACTGTACCCGAATTTGCACTCGGTGTCCTTGAGCGATGTAGCGCTGAAACTGGCGGAAATTCATCATCCGGAGTTTTCCGAGAGTGTCTCATTCCGGAATGTGTTATTGCTGCCGGCAAACGGTGAGAAAACCGACGCGAACCGATACTGTGCCAGTTTGCAGGCGACACAAGACGATTTGCGGAAGGTCATAAGGAAGAATGTTGCCTTGCAAGAATATTTGTGTATAAAAGAGAAGGAACTGGAAATGCTGAGAGCAGATTGCGAGGCAAAGTGGAACGATATGAAAGGGGCATTTCCACCAGCTGTACTGCAGAAAATTGTGCACACGCTAAAAGCGCCGAGTGTTGTAGCATAGTTTGTCTCTGTAAATTGTAAAACTAAATTTCTCGCGACAGAGGTGACGTAATATTATATCAATATGACTGTTATAAAGTATAATATATCTATAATATTACTATATTCTCGGCACTTCGCTCTGCTCGTTGCATGCTGGGAATACTGATTGTCTAGAACACGCGATTTAGCTCTCCACGATTATAATTGTGATAATGTGTAAAATGCAGCATACAATACAGCATTCAAAAGGTTCCGTGCGTCGGAACTATATCTTGAACAGTATCTGAACTGTTGTAGGTTCCGTTAGTCATAGGTACCAGGTATGTGTCGAAGGTAATAACAATAAACACAACTTAAACGTGGCGCAAAATATGTATTCGAAGAGCTACTGGTAGTCGTCGTAGTTGATATTCCAGGCAGAATAAGGGATCCATTTTCTTACTCGTTTCTGCTTTACTGGTTACGTTAGTTAACCCAGGGAATAGTATAGTTGTCTTCATTTTTTGATACGAGGCATTAAATACTGTACTACGGATAGTAGGAGTATGAAGTATAAACCGATGTAAAATGGTACAAGAGTGTACAAAGAGAAAAGTACAAAAGAAGAAAAAGAAGTGGAGATGGTATGGTAGAAGAGTGTACAAAACAACGGCTACGGTGCAATTTTCTGAATACGGTGTACTAGGAACACGTTGAACTGCAGCTGGTTTCCTTGATACTCCCATTAAGACCGCAGCATACAAATACCGCCTTAGTATTGCCGATCAATAGAATAATTACAGCCTCTGCGTCTTGTGATCTCAATCTCGCTGTGATCGATCCGTGAAAACAGTTCGCTTCCTAGTTATAATATTATCACCTGATATTGCCAGAACGAACAAAGTACCAGTATTTTCACAACGCAGTAATAAGGTAACTATGACATTAATCGATTTGCACCAAAGTGCTTGACTAGACGTATTAATCCGTTTGTACGATGGAGAAACGACAGAAGCATCCGGAAAATATTGGCATTCTGATGGCCCTTGCCAGCGCCGAAGTCCTGTTGGCAGCTGCGGAATTCGCCGTAAATCTCTACAACCTGTTCTATGGTAAGACGCCATTTGCACCCCGATTATTCGATGGGGATTACCTTTTTTGTAGCCACTTACGACATTCTTATGTACCACATAGACTTTTTCTGTAAGTAATATTTTTGGGACATTGACGTTCTATGGTTGGCTCGTTTGTGCGTCAGTTTTAAATTCCTATCCACGTTAGTAATAGTTTCCGCTTTTCGTTGTGCTTTACCTTTGTTTGTGCATGTTCTAATTAACTGTTATTGATTATCCTTCCAAGGCAGTCAGTTAAAGCTACGAATGGGATAGACAGACGGCAAACAAATAACCAGCTGGCACCAGTGATGTCCCGTTTGCAGTTTTTCATGTCCCGAGCGCACTTTCACGATCAAAAACTTTCCCGCACCCGCTCCCGCACCCGAGCGCTCGGACCGTCCCGCAACCCGCTCCGATTCCCGATTTTCAATGAATCAATAATTTCCATAATTGTTACAAATTTATTACAAAATTTTTGTGATAAAGTTTCGCAAAAAGTTTAACGGATAGGCATTTTTTAGAAGACTAGACCTGCTGTCACCTGCATGATAAATCTTACTTTTTACTTTTCAAAAAAACTGAGCCTGGCTCGTAATTATAATTATAGAATTGCCATAAATATATTATTATCGCCATCAACAATTCGATTTCCTTTCGAAACCCACATTTCCGTCACGAGCAAGCCGCCGCTTATTACATTTGTAATTTTGATCCAGCACAGTGCCTAAGGGTGGGACTCTGATTCGAAGCAAATCTCGCTATGGCATTGTAGCTCAACCACACGAGGTGGCTGTATGGGTGTCCATTCATTTCGGAAACCATTCATTTTGAAAACCATTCTTTGTAAAAACAACAGACAAATTTTATTCGGCTTTCTTATGTTTATACTATTCTTATGCTTAGGCTGTCTCGTGCTTCTTTCTTATGTTATTATCCAAGTGTATTTTTAGGTGTCGTATTTTCAGGTTTTCTTCCGTTTTTATGTTTTCTTTTGTTATTCCTATTTTTTCTTAAGTTTTATTAGGTTTTCTTATTTTCTAAACTTTTCTTAGATTTTTATGCTTCCTTAAGTTACTGTATTATTTTTTTTATGAATTCTTTTGTTATTCCGAGGCATTACGAAAGCTCTAAGGCATAAAATCGAACTGGCAGCCTGTACGATGACGTCACGGTGGAGGAGACCGATCTTGCGAACTCCATAGGCTTGCGCGCTCTTTGCGTTCCAGCAGAACGAAATTTCCTTGCGTCTAAATGGGTTTTTTTTTGTTTAAAACTGAAAAACATGATGTTTCGTCACTGTCCCCGAAAATTCTAGCGGTAAAAGTTGAGTTAAAAGCAGTTTGGCCTCGCACATGGTGGATCCAAGAGCCAAGGTACTGGTGTGTCTTCAAAGAGTGGTTAAGCTGCAACCATGGCCGTTTTCTTAATGATTAAAGTCCAGGAAACAAAGTCAAGTGAAAACATAAATTTCTGGACTCGTATTTCAGAAAGTGTTCACATACTGATAGTGACAGATAGTCAGCAACTTAGTCGGAAGACTGCAGCCGTCCACAGTACTGTAAATCCGCACCACAAGCATAGCCACAAGTGCAGGCTTCTTCCATAGACTTCCATGTTAAATAAAAACACTCATATCGCATCTAATTTGCAGCGGATCCGCGCTAACTTAGTATCAGAAGAAACAACAAATTATTCTCTTTCTTTTGAGGTGTTCCTGGAGACTTATAAACAAAGGTACAAGGAATTCTAGAATTTCAAAGTTGAATGTAAGTCTACGGGCGACACAGTACATCGTCTCCACTATCCTGACACCGTCGCAGTCGATTTTATGCCTGTAGCTTTCGTAATGCCTCGGTTATTCTTATTATGTTTTCTTTTGTTTCTTGATTGTTTCGGAAATTTGTGATTTCCGAAATTAATGGTTTCCGAAGTGAACGTTTCCGAAATGAACGGTTTCCGAAATTGGTTTCCGAAGTGAACGTTTCCGAAATGAGCGGTTTCCGAAATTGGTTTCCGAAATGATGGCCGGTGCCGCTGTATCCGTGGCCACGGTTACAGATACGATACTCGAAGCCACCTCGCGAGGAGACTGGAGTCGCTGTATCGCAGCTAGATGCGCTTTGAATCTGAGACCCACCCTAAGACACCAACTTTCGCGCGAAGCGCGAAGCTGACGCACTTTTTGGCTGCGAAAATTGCTAGAAATTCTATAAAATTTTTTTAATTCTAAGAAATCCCGTGTTTTCCCGAGTAGCGGGCGGGTGTACTAATCAGGCTTTATTCCCGACCGCACCCGATCCGAGCAGAAAGCCTCCCGCTACCGCTTCCGAGCCAAAAGCGGGTGCGGGGTGCGGGAATTTCCCGTGATTTACCGAGCCCGTGAAAAAAACGGGACATCACTGGCTGGCACTAATCTAAAACATACTGGCACTTGCAGCTAGCTATTTGCGCTGATGTCATCGCAAATATTGATCGGTAACATCGTGACTGGTTTTGGTGTTTAGTGAGAGGCATTACTGCATTAGACACGGCTTACCGATCGGTATCACCGGTGAGCCATGCCGCCATTTGCATTCTGCAGAAGAGTTACCTTTACTCTTCGTGCAGTATATTATCTCTATATATTAATAAAATAAGCCTTAGCGAATTCCATACAAAGCTCCCTTTTCTGAGCGACACACTTAACGAAACTTGGGTGTCTATATATCATTCGATAGCGCCAGGTTTGCAGATGGCGCGACAAGAATCAGTTTTTGAGAAAAATGTAAAGTTTAAAAGAAAAGTTTAAGAAAAGTTAACATACAAAGTCTATGGGAAAGGTGAGGAACCCACCACTGCTAAATCGACCACCCCACCACTGTCTTGAGTCGACAGCTGAAACGCCGTTACTCAAGCTCTTCTTCGAATGGGGTGCTTATGTAATGACATGTATCACCTTATAGCCGTGGTTTATATATTTTTTACCAGAAATTTTTGTTTGCAAGACAGTTAGAGCTGAAGAAGTCAGAAAGATCAGGCAAAGCAGTCCGCGAGTACGGAACAGCTGCAAACCCAGTTTTTCAAGTAGCTGTCCTTCGCAGTTGTTCGAGCTTCTTTATTGTAGCGCCTCCAAGGGCGGCTGCGCGTGCCGTTATCACTTGCCTACCGTACAACCGGTGCCACAATCCATACTACGGTGCCACCGTAGTATGGATTTTACGCGGTTGTATTAGAATGTGGTGCTAAGTAGCGGAAGTGCGAATTATTCACGACGCTGCTGTGAAATTAAATGATTATTATGAATTAATTAATTAGTTAATTTAAATTATTATTCACGACGCTGTTGTGTAACGACGCTATTGTAACAGAAGGCGAAGCCGCAGGTGACCCCTAGCTCCGGCGCTAGGGAGCTTGCGGAGCAGCAATACAGATAGGACTCATATGTACGAGTATAAGAATGATAATAAGCGAGACACAATCAGACACTGCGTCGTGAGTGACTGCGATCTGGGCATTGTTACCGGTATGGATGCCAAAAACTTGAGTTAATAACTTGACTTGACTTTCGACTTGGTTTTTACAAAAAGTCGAACTTTTCAAATTACTTGGACATCCAAGTTAACTTTTTTGACTTGACTTGGAAGCTCAAGTCAAGTTATTAACTTGAAGTCGACTTCAAGTCGACCTGAAGTCGAATAAAAAGTAATACGAAAATTTGCGTATAGGGGAGTTATTAGTCGTCACACACCCGTTCCATGTACTGCTCCAGTCATCCGCCCGGAGCTTTGCCTCTTGGCTGCACATACAGTCTATGACTCTATGCAGCCGTGTGGTCATAATCCACTTTGATGGCTGGAACAGTACAGCGAAAGTGTGTTGCACGACACCATTATCAAAACATTTTAAAGATATAACGCAGAAAATGTCGGTTTACTTTAAAATTCCTTAAATTTTTTTAAAAACTCGCAAGTCGACTTGAAGCAGAACTTGAGAACTTGGTTTCACTAACTAAGTCGACTTCGTTGACTTGATCTGGAAGGATGAGTTCAAGTTAATAACTTGACTTTTCCTCCAAGTTTTTTCGATTAACTCAAGTTATTAACTTGATAAGTCGACTTCGCCAAGTATTTGGCAACCCTAGACTTCAACTTACCGGACAAACCGAAATTTAAAAAACCCATGACTGGAAGTATGTTAATGACTTGATAAGTGTGGCCGCACTGGCTGGCCAAAATTCTAATACATAACAACGGGCAATATTTTACAATTCAAAGAATAGCAGACTGATAAAGAAAAAAACTCGAAGGAATTTCTAAAAACAGCACATACTATATAAACGGCAAGTTTTGAAGTTTATTACGGTTTTTTCTGCAGTGCACCGAACGGGAAAATTTTAACACAGAAAGATCAATATAGAATCTTCCGTTTATCTTCGGTAAAACAGTGAACCCTGTTACGAATACGAGTACAGCAGCAGCACCTTATTTTAAATTATGCGAAATTTTAAATTTTTAAATTTCTAAGCATAAATGAATCCAACGGAGCGTAGAATATATCTGAATTTGACAACGTACGTATCTTAGATGTCACGAACAACCATGAGCTTGTATATTTCTCGGCATTTTAATATATCACTGATTTATTCCGCGCAGTTTGCGCGGGGTCTACTAGTTACATTTAAAGTTTTAACCTATGTGAGTCTTACAGAGCGGATTCTGATGCTTTTATGATAGTTAGCAACTGGTTAACAGTGATAGTTACCCAGTTAACAGCTGCGATTTCTGACATTGCTGTCTGATTTGACTGTTCGATGTTTCGCAAATATTCGCATTTAAAGAATCTTAATTGGTTTAATACCATATTCAATAATAGCTGGTGGAGTAGTAGAGTGTGCCTGCTAATAACGATAGTATTAGAAAGCTAAGTTTTCGTTCTAAAAACATAATAAATTTCTAGATTTTCACCATTACCCAGGAAACAGTAGTGAGTCGGCGATGTCCGCCTGGGGAAGCCACCGGGCGCCGTAAAACGCATTTAGCAATAAATCCGGTCGACCGTGCGCGCCCACAAAATTTGAGCATGCGCAGGAAGCCGAACTTATTTAACAGCGTAGGATTGCCGTGATTACTGATTAGATTAGTTAGATTAAGTTCTATTTGTTTTTTATAAAAATGAATAAATTCATTGAAGATCTGTATTTACTGGGTGGCGTTGACGATGAAGAGTTTTTGTTTTTATCTCGTCGACGCACAGTGGCACTGGAATCCCGATAATCGAAAGCGTTTCAGCCTGAATTACTACAGTGATGAAGAATCTCTTGCAAACTTTCGGTTTTCCGTAAGCGACCTGTATCGTCTTCAAAAGGTTTTATGCATTCCCGATGTGATTCGGGTAGATAATGGTTGCACTGTGAGTGGAATTGCAAATCTGTGCATTCTTCTGAGACGTCTGGCGTTGAAGGGCAGATTGTACGAAATGAGTATCATGTTTGGAAAACCTGACAGTATTATTGGTCGCATTTTTTCTTGGTGTGTCGATCATATTTACGACAATTTTGTGCATCGGTTCTTAACAAACCTTGACGCTCCCTATTTAACCGAAGATTTCTTCATGCATTTGTGCGCAAAAAATGTTGAGAAAGGGTGTTTGTTTGATAACTGCATTGGCTATATGGATGGAACTTTGGTTGAGTCTGCCGTCCCTCAGGACGGGACGAAATTCAACGACAATTTTATTCCTATAAGAAGTACCATGCTGTAAAATACCAATCTGTTGTGGCACCCAATGGACTGATCTTGCAATTTGACGGTCATTTCCCGCATCAACTAGAACTGTTGATCCCTGGAGTTTGCATCCTGCTCAGATTTTTTAAGCTCTAAATCTATTTTCTTGTCATGTTTTTCACGCTCCAGTTGTCTGTCTTTCTCTCTTTCCTCCCGCTCGAAATCTCTGTTCGCGCCGATCTTGCAGTTCTTCCTTACGCGCCGCAGCTTCCGCACGAAATTTTTCGCGAAAAAGATCTTCGCGGTTTTTACGAGCAGAACCTCCGATGCGGCTCTTGAATGGTGATGTGTAGTTCCGTTTCAGTTTTTTCTTCAATGGCGTGCCAGTGGCTGTATACATTTCGGGATTCTCTTCTTCGTGTTGAATGCGAGCTGCTTCTGCAAATTATTTCAAGTATTATTAGTAACTAATTACTTGACCATGTAGTCAGTGCGCAAACTTGTATTCTTTGTCAAACTAATGCAGAGCAACAAAATTTTATACATACGAGTACAACATTAAGATTTATTACCATCGTCCGTGCTCCACTCCGTGTCGCTTTTATCCATCGTTCTGGGGAGCTTCTTAGATAGTCTCCCCTTAGTGCTTTCTTCCAGTATTTCGATCAACTTCGCATTATGAGATTCCTTCACATTTTGAGCTTCGGTCATAGTCTTTGACTCTTCCTCTGCTGCGGAGACTGACTCCAAAAGTAGCTCTGTTTCTGTTGGTTCCGGTTGCTGTTCATCACCTGTGGGATCGATTGCGGGCGTCTTTTTGGCGCGATATTCAGCCAGTAGCGTATTCACTCGCTCGCGACAATATTTGTTGGTCCTCGCTGTGCCCAATGTGCTGACCTGGTCGGCAATTTTCTTCCGAATTTCCTGCTTTGCACATGCAGGAGCCAAAAATGGCTTCAAGTCCGCTGTGGCACGGAGAAGCTGCAAATCACTTGACTGCTGTTTTGCGGATTTTTTGCGCGTTCGACACTTCTCTATAGCAGCTGATTCTGAAATTTAAATTATGAATGAATGATTGAAGTGAAATCAGATACTGGTTCTAGAATAAGAAAACTTGAAAGTTTACCTGTTGCTACGGATATGGCAGAAACAGGAGAAACCGGATTTTCATCCATTGGAAAATGGAAACTGCTATGCAGATCGACGTAGGGCTTATTGTTGCGATAAAGAAATTCAAAAGTCACTGACTTGATCAACAACGAAAAAGTGAAAATTTCTCAATAATAATTTCAGATAAGTTTCTCCTGTTTCTCTTCTCCTGAAAATTCGGTTTCTCCTGTTTCTGCCATATCCGTAGCAACAGGTAAACTTTCAAGTTTTCTTATTCTAGAACCAGTATCTGATTTCACTTCAATCATTCATTCATAATTTAAATTTCAGAATCAGCTACTATAGAGAAGAAGTGTCGAACGCGCAAAAAATCCGCAAAACAGCAGTCAAGTGATTTGCAGCTTCTCCGTGCAACAGACTTGAAGCCATTTTTGGCTCCTGCATGTGCAAAGCAGAAATTCGGAAGAAATTGCCGACCAGGTCAGCACATTGGGCACAGCTGAGGACCAACAAATATTGTCGCGAGCGAGTGAATACGCTACTGGCTGAATATCGCGCCAAAGACGCCCGCAATCGATCCCACAGGTGATGAACAGCAACCGGAACCAACAGAAACAGAGCTACTTTTGAGTCAGTCTCCGCAGCAGAGGAAGAGTCAAAGACTATGACCGAAGCTCAAAAGTGAAGGAATCTCATAATGCAGAAGTTGATCGAAATACTGGAAGAAAGCACTAAGGAGAAACTGTCTAAGAAACCCCCCAGAACGATGGATAAAAGCGGCACGGAGTGGAGCACGGATGATGGTAATAAATCTTAATGTTGTACTCGTATGTATAAAATTTTGTTGCTCTGCATTACTTTGACAAAGAATACAAGTTTGCGCACTGACTACATGGTCAAGTAATTAGTTACTAGTAATACTTGAAATAATTTGCAGAAACAGCTCGCATTCGGCACGAAGAAGAATCCCGAAATGTATACAGCCACTGGCGCCATTGAAAAAACTGAAACAGAACTACATCACCATTCAAGAGCCGCATCGGAGGTTCTGTCGTAAAAACCGCGAAGATCTGTTTCGCGAAAATTTCGTAGGCGGCGCGTGAAGAACTGCAAGATCGGCGCGAACAGAGATTTCGAGCGGGAGGAAAGAGAAAGAGACAACTGGGCGTGAAAACACGACAAGAAAATAGATTTAGAGCTTAAAAAATCTGAGCAGGATGCAAACTCCAGGGATCAACAGTTCAGTTGATGCGGGAAATAATGCACATGATGGCAAAAAAGTGATTTTTGTTGTTAAAAACCTGATTTTTTTGTTTAACTTTTAGTTCAACTGTTCGTATTTTTTGTATCAATTTACCGCAGTAAATTTGGCAAAAATATCAGACAAATTTACATTTGAGCAATTCGATAATCAAATAGCAAACGCCATTTCCGAAGATTTTATTCACAAAAAGTGCAATACGAGTACTAAAACACAACAGCAGCAAAAATATGGAATCGAGACATCGCAATTATTGCCATTTAAAATAATCTTCTAATAATGGTGGCTGATAACCAAAATAATCAGTTGGTTGACTTCCATACAAACATGTATGCGCGTTCGTTAAGATAACAGCAACGGGCACGTATTTACCGGGCTGTGTGAGAAACACTTTCATGTTATCCCGATCAGTAATAAAACGAAAATTTTGCTTTACTTTTTTGAAGCCCCACTCAACACAAATCCGCAAAGGTTTCATTTCATCATTAATACGGGCTTGCCAGGATCCGGTCACCGTGTTTTTATACACTGGCATCACAAATAAACTTTTGGCGTACGCGCTGTCAGCATAAATCATTAGACGCTTTTCAAGAGGTACACCAAACTTCTCGTTCAATTTCTTTACTCGATCATCAAGTAGACTCCTCCTGAACATTGTGCTGTCATGCAACTTTCCTACGCATGGACCGTCAAATTGCAAGATCAGTCCATTGGGTGCCACAACAGATTGGTATTTTACAGCATGGTACTTCTTATAGGAATAAAATTGTCGTTGAATTTCGTCCCGTCCTGAGGGACGGCAGACCTCAACCAAAGTTCCATCCATATAGCCAATGCAGTTATCAAACAAACACCCTTTCTCAACATTTTTTGCGCACAAATGCATGAAGAAATCTTCGGTTAAATAGGGAGCGTCAAGGTTTGTTAAGAACCGATGCACAAAATTGTCGTAAATATGATCGACACACCAAGAAAAAATGCGACCAATAATACTGTCAGGTTTTCCAAACATGATACTCATTTCGTACAATCTGCCCTTCAACGCCAGACGTCTCAGAAGAATGCACAGATTTGCAATTCCACTCACAGTGCAACCATTATCTACCCGAATCACATCGGGAATGCATAAAACCTTTTGAAGACGATACAGGTCGCTTACGGAAAACCGAAAGTTTGCAAGAGATTCTTCATCACTGTAGTAATTCAGGCTGAAACGCTTTCGATTATCGGGATTCCACAGTGCCACTGTGCGTCGACGAGATAAAAACAAAAACTCTTCATCGTCAACGCCACCCAGTAAATACAGATCTTCAATGAATTTATTCATTTTTATAAAAAACAAATAGAACTTAATCTAACTAATCTAATCAGTAATCACGGCAATCCTACGCTGTTAAATAAGTTCGGCTTCCTGCGCATGCTCAAATTTTGTGGGCGCGCACGGTCGACCGGATTTATTGCTAAATGCGTTTTACGGCGCCCGGTGGCTTCCCCAGGCGGACATCGCCGACTCACTAGTCAATCAATCATCACGTGGTGAATAATATTGATATTCAATACCACTGAAAGTTCAGCAGGTTGTTTTTATCCTTGTCAAATGAGATCTCGCAAATCTGCTAAAAAAACATATCAAAGAAGAATTCAAACGGTAACCGAAAAATGCATGCATCACAGTAATTACGTTCTCTCTCTAACACACTGGTAGTTTTCTCCATAAAAATTACGTACATATGATGAATCTTTGCAGGACTGCTGTTCGAAGGCAAAAGATTTCCGATGCTGCAGACACTGGCCTTTATCGTTTCCACCCCGCTGTACGGGCTGCAGTTAGTTTGCGGTGGTTGCTGCATTGTGGCGTGCGTCCGAGTGTTGTGTGGTCACCGCAACGCAGCATTCTTTGGTGGACGTTTCCGAGAGTGCAATCTGTGCGTTTTCACCGCCTGCGCGATATACCTGCTGGTCATGCTGTTCACCTGGTTCATCGTGGTCGGGGAGCTGGCTAACCCATTCATCGCCCAGTTTGGCGTGTGGGGCGGAGTCCACCAAGCTTTCCAGGCCGACGTCATCGGACATCTGGGCATGCTGGGATCGGTTCTGGTGCTAGGCGCTAGCATGGTGGTTGTGCTCTTTGTGATGTGGCTAACCGATTCCGTCTGGAACAGCCTGAAGGCCACGAAGGAAGAGAAAACGCTGCTGGCCCATGCGAAAGAACCAAACAGTCCACCCCCGTCGTATAATCAAGTCAACACGAATACGGAGATCACGGTTTAAGAACACAGCGTCAAATATGACCCTTATCGGGAGGCATGGATCCGAGTGGGTGTGCAATTAATGACCATTAACAGGACAAAATGCGCGCACCCGGCAAAATGCGCGTTCATAGTATGCAGCTCTTTAGAATCAAAAATACGAGTATTTGTTCGATACCTGCTATCTGCTTTAGTGCGCTGTTTTCCATGATGCGTCTTCCACCACAAGCTTGGTCCTACATATACCGTAAGAAGCTTGTTTGGATGCGTTGTGTGTTTCGATGCCCTCATTTAAGGGTACCTTTTCTGCTTGGGTTCCAGCGAAACCCATTTATCAACCGTTGTTCATGGTTCCTTTCATGTTAAATATCTGTATGTGATACGGACAAAATTTAATTTTGGTGCTGCTCTTTTTTTAACCGCTTTTTGTCGACACTTTTTCTGTTCTGTGTGAATTTGGATGATACGGTATTTGTTTTGCTGTAATAAAAGGTCTGGGCTATGCGAAATTTAAAAGGTCTACTATTTGCGAAAACTGTTATTGACTGTACAGTTGTACTGTACAGTTGTATTAGTAAATTAAGTGAAGAAAATGGCTTAAGAAAACTGAGAAACCTAAGAAAACTAAGGCGGCTCAGTATAGCGCTAGCTGGGCTGCGTGACGGTCGACGAGATTTTTGGCGGGGTCATGTACAGATTGTAAGCGATTGAAACACGGTCGCCACGACCGGATATTGGTATCCAAGCTTTGGCACTGGCAGCTGTTCGTATCGAATCGGATGAAATTCAGAAAAAAGTCAGATAAAAGCGCAAGGTTCTCAACGCAGAAATTGGACTATGTTACTAAGTACTATGGTTGTACGAGTGTCGCAAGACAACCGTACGACGAAAATACTAGGACGTCTATGATAATGTACGGCACAGATACCGGGAGAAACATGTTCATGTGCCCTGGACAGAAAATCAGTGGCCATATAACTGGACCACAACAAGGTGAAACTAGGCAGGACGCGTACGGACTTTCACAATGCATAACTATACTGATCAAATTAAACAATCAACATATGAGCCATTCGTTCATCACCCAATCTTCGGCGCAACACATTGATCTTTACCAGTAGGTTCATACATAATACCAGTAGGTTCTTATATAAGTAACAAGCCATTGAATGCCGATGAGCCCAATCTCGATTGCAAACTTATGATCGGCTTCTTGCTAACCCATTGCCGTTGCTCTAGGTGGACGAGAGAAATGAATGAACATTCCTCTCTTAAGGAAGAGAGGAATGTTCATTCATTCCTCTCACACCTAAACAACAACATCTTCTTCCCTCCGCTTGTATCTGTAAAATGCATGGTGGAAAACTGCCAGCTTCTATCCAAGACTGCGACAGTGATCTCAAGAATAAAGTGGCTCGCAGTGCCACCAACGGGAACTGAAGATCAAGAAGCGATCCCTTCACTTCGGAGCCGGTATGCATAAATGTCCGCTTCCAGGTTACCATTCATCCCTGCAATAACTGCCTCGGCGGCTTCGCCACAATTATACATAAAATACGGAACAAAAGGCAGAAAACAGATATTTCGTAGTTTCATACTACAGTACCGTACTTTTAGTGGACGCACACGCCGTTAAACGGTGGTAAATTTAGTAACTGAAGTTCCAGCTAAGTGTGATGCCACAAGAATGTCAAAGCCTATTGAAATGTGTTAAGAATTAATCGGCCACCAGCAGTTTTCCTTAGACACGGTACACTTCCTCAGCACAATATAGTGAACCATTTTTGCGTTCTTGATTAGCGGACAGGTGCACTCTAGCGGTTAGGGTTGATAACCGTTGATTCTGTAGACCATAGATGATCACGCAAGCGATACCATCTCATAAAAGGAATGACAGGAAGCCGGTCAGGACGTTTAGATAATTCTAGCCGGGGTAAAATTGTAAACATGACTCCCCTTTTGCATTGCAATTTCGCAGTTGATTCATGCTGGATGATTTTTGGAAACTAACTACTTATAATTCCGCGGCTTCCTTTTTGTTTCTCTTTATGAGCAACAGTATTTTCTGAGCAACTTTTACTTGCAACAGCATTTTCGTTTACCTAAATGGTAGCATACTACAGAGTTTCTCTTGCGGAATGTTTCATACCGCTATAGACATTAAGCTGCCTAAGCAAGCAATCGAATCTTACAGATACACAAAAAAAACAATTGGTATTTTGGTCCAATGTCGATATTTAATGCGCAATCTCCCTGCATCTGCATAAGACGACTGCGGTTTTTCGTCGTCTTTTGACATCCTAAACATCAAACTTTGTTGGAAACAACCGGCAATGCAACAATATTACTGCAAGATTCATACAGTGCACACTCTAACAGCATCTGTTGTGTCCATATATAAGAACTAGCATTTTATGCCCTCATGTCTTTGAAATATTATAAATTTTCGGTTTTTAAAACTGTTGCTCTAGAGTATGGGTAACTGCATATATACGGTTTGCTTTCTCAAAAAAAAAAAATTTCACATGAAAGCTGTAACCTATAAATCACTTCTTTAGACGGAAAATACATGTCAAGCGGATGTCCCGCTTAGTGCTTACTAATTAGTAGTTGCTATAATAATTTTTACATAGCGATAGGCGAAACATCTCCTCCTTCTTCCCTTTCGGCCCTCGGGATTACCTGGAGTATTTGAACAGTGCAAATGCACACGAAGAAACCACCGACAGCATCAGAGGGAAAATCATTAAAACCGGCACAAAGTAATAATAATAATAGTAATAACTGAGCCGTATGACGTATATACTGACCTATCTGTAATATCCGCAGCTGACACATTTTTAATGGGCATTTTGAGAGCAGGATACCTTTCCAAAATGCAAGAATTATGTAACTGGCGCACAGTACGTACAGCAGCTGCACATACAGACACAATCTCGGGCAAATTATTGTTACACACGTGCGCACTGTAAATCACAAGCATAAACGGGATAAATTGCGGACTGCTTTCTGATCCGTGATGATTTAGGCAAATAGACTCATATACACCCGGTAAATTATTAATCTGCACGCTTGAGCTGCTGGCTGGATTCGTCTTTGAAGCTGTGTACTTTGTAGTAAGCAGCTATATAGTATCTTTGTATATCAGCTAAGCGTTTCAATTTTGTAGTACTCTTTAAAGTTTTGCTTCCAGTGTCGATAGAACTAACCAAACAGTTAATAATTTTAACAACATGGTCAGTTTGTGCTATCTCGTTCCGGTTGTGTTGACGATTTTTGGGACTCCACGCACAGTATCTGGGCTGAATGTCAGTATCGTAGTTATCAGCTACATCGGTCCGCTTGGATTTCCGTCCTTAGTTTATTCCGATGCGCCCTTATCGATGGCCACGGAATATGTTGGGAAACTGTACAATACAACAATGACGTTTAATTTGCATTTTTTGTACGATCCAGCGCATCCGACGTGTGCTGATTTAAATGACAACGCTGTGCGACTGCTGGGGGAATGGCAGTACCGTATGCGGAAGATGGATGATTTTACCGTTTACATAATTCCAGGTAATAATTATACAGGCATCCGATAATCAGCTCTGCGCCATCCCGTTAACCACATTACTTGTAGCCTGCGTTGAGGCGACGGAGATTCCATATCTCCAGGCACAATGGGATACCTTATGGATTTCTAGGTAAATTATTTATAACTTTAATGAGCGCTGTGCTACGTAGAATAAAAAAGATAAAATCAGGAGCACTAGCATAAGAAAGCTTAGTTTTTATAATTACATCTGCTAGTAGATTTAACGTACGTATTTAATGTAGTACTTCCGTATATGTATGTCAATGTATTTGACATATTCATTTGTTAGTGTCTCGGCCAGTGCACAAATTCGCCATCGTGACCTCTATCCAACGTGGATATCAACAAATTACATTTCATTGCTCCAGTTGTCGGAGCTGTATGTGGAGCTGCTCAACAAATATGCATGGACGTCAGTCACTTTGGTGATAGATACGGTATCGCCTCCGTTCTTCTTCACATTTGCTGAGTCACTGCTGGCGGAACTGAAAGAAAACCGTAATTTTTCAACGACGGTGTATAAAACGTCAACTAATTCGCCTGGACGATTTACATCCATTCTCGAAGATATACAACAAATTAGTAGAGGTCAGATAACATTTATAAAATAAATTTACGTAAGTAGATTTTTTCACGTATATGTACCATTTGCCACGCAACTGCATGATTGTTAGAAAATCTGTATGGTTTGGCTGGTTTTGCAGTTGTCCTGTTCTTCGGACATGCCAGATTCTTACGCGATTTCATGGTACTTTTGGGCACTCTGTTCCTTGCGTGCAAAATATGACCTACATACATATGATATAATTGTTCATGATCGTCTTAGATTACTGCATCTCAAATGCACATGACCGATGGAAATTACGTAAGCTCCCGAGAAAGATCTGTCTATAAATCGGGAACAAATTTAATTACCGACATGACCAGTACAGGTGTACATTGCCGTTGAAGCAATGAAAAACAACACGCACGGATACTTACACTGGCAGTACAACGACAGCCGCGATCCGGTATTGTTATTACAACTAGATTTCCCATTAATTGAGCTATTTTGGTATGACTCCGATAAATGCACTCTCTGCTAAACTAATCGCTACAGGTTGCCTTACAAGCCTTCCAGTCGTTGCTGGTCTTGCATCCGCGGGATGTTGACGAGAGCCCCGACCCGAACCTCGGAGCGGAATTTATTCGAAGGTCACAGTTAAAGTATAATTTTACGTACACCCTCGCTGCGCAGGTACGCTGCTAATATATGATCTTAAGGTTTGAGCAGAAGGCCATAATGCAACCTTTTCGGACTTAGCACTTCCCAACGCTTACCGGAAACTACCTAGCTGTTTTCGCTTTGGCTCAAGTAAGTTACGCAATCCTTTATAATAATTAACTGGAAATGGCTGCTCCTACCATCCTGGCGCCTCCTCTGGACACTCTTACCTCCTTTCACCCTTTTTGGCTGTTCCATACCGACTGTAGTTCAGCCCTACCGGCAGTAGTTCAGCTGCAGTGGTTTCTGTGGCTACAGTGCTTCCTTTATACTATGTACCAAAAATACTCGAAGCTGCTACGGAAAACCATATTTTTAGAAATTAGAGGATATCCGTAAAAAATTTGCGTCCTTGAACTTTAGAAGCTGGCAAAGATAAAGCCGGCAACTTCTGCCGGTCGGATATCTCTTTTGATCACGAGAAAGGTCTGGTACCGGTGCAAAGAAACAGCGATCTGTTAAACAAATACATTGTAGTGCACACAACTCAATGTAATAAAGGGGTGCGAACAGCCAATAGAGGTGTGCGAGGCGGTGGCAATAGTCAAAAGGTGGTGATGGTGCAATTTATTGTTAAAAGATAGTGCGAATAGCCAAAAGGTGGTGAAAGGTCGTGAGAATAGCCAAAAGGTGGTGCCGGTGGTGGGAAAAGCCACACCCTAATTAATTTTATTCTTTGCATGGAGAAAGCAACTCGTTGCACTAAAAGACTGCATAATCGGGTTTTGCAGGCATTAAATGACTCTCTATCAGGGCAGGCAGAAACCACAGCTAACTGGTAGTAGCGTCGTGAAATACCTTGTAAACCGCACCTTTACGGACGGTTCTGCCGCCGGGAGTATTTATATAGACAAAAATGGACAGAGTCGCCGCGACCTGGCTGTTTCGTATTACACTCCATCAGGGCATCGCAAGGTGATGATGCTGCATTTTCTATTTTTCATTGGGCTCGATCCGTTGTACATTGCTTTGATTTGTTTTCCTTATAATATAGGCACTATTGCTCAAGATTGCAACCAACGAAACGCTTATCCAAGTTGTGAACTTAACAGCATGGAGCGGCGCCGCCTTTCCGCCTCCCAGTGTACCATATTGTGGCTACAAAAATTCCAAATGCTCGGCTCCAGGTAAAAAGCCAGGCAGTTTCTTGTGAAGCCGAAAGCATTTTCAACCTAACGTTCCTCAAATTTTGTACCGTATGGTGACCCAACATTTCGTCGATAAAAATTTGTCGACCGCAACTTCGTCGAACAGACACGATGTCGACCCGTCACGGCGTCGCACTAACGTTTAGTTAAATTATCTCAGCTTTTTTCGTTTTTTTAGATTCCTTAGGTTTTCAGATTTTTAGAATTCAATAGTTTTCTTAGGTTTTCTTAGATTTCTTAGGGTTTTCAGCCGTTGCCCTCGTGACGGTCGACGTAGTGCGGTCGACGTTGTGTCAGTCGACGAAGTTTTAGTCGGCGAAATGTCGGTGAGCCCTATATACGTACGTGTTTCGTATTTATGTATTTGTAGGTGATAGCCGTTGGATATACGGTAGCGTCCTCGGATGCGTGTGTGTGATGCTATGCGTAGGAGTTCTTCTACTGTATTACGCGAGGTGAGATCAGCTGTTTATACATATGTTCCGTTTCGGACTGGTAGATGTTGTAAAATCCTACATTGTCGATGCACTGCGTGACATATCCATCAGACCTGACGTTAGACGTCTACGCGCTTTACTGCACTTTAAATTATGTTGTTGTCAAAAGGCAGGTCAAGCGAAAAGCGGACACGGTCCTCTTGTACGATCCTTGGTGGCAGATCGCGTCCGCTGTGCCACACCGGAGTTTTCATGTCTCCACGTTGTGTGCCTTTGGACGCTTCGAAGAAGATTATGACATGCCAGCTCTATCGGAGGTGCTTTTATTGTTTTTAGAAGTATTCTCCTTAACGGCACTCCTCCCAACTAGCTAGATGAATCAAGCGGAGTCTAATGGATAGCTAATTGTACCGCTGTCAATCTCGGTTTAAAATATTGACACTTTTATGCAACGTATAAATTTTAAATTTTCAACCAAAGAAACTGGTTTTAGACGCTTGGAGTGTATCAGGGGAAATCAGTGCGGCACGTTAAACTCTGCCAGCGAGATCATACCGTGACATTTGGAGAACTGTCAACCAACATCGATTTGCTGCAGTTAATGAAAAAGGTACAAATATTTGTGTTTCAGTTGTTGCTCGCTTAATAGAAATTTATCCGCTTTATTTTGTTTATTGTGCCCTTCTTGATACTGACAAAGCATTATTTTAGTTTCACGGTCTGGACCATCATAATCTGTGTCGGTTTTACGGAATCGCTATATCCGTTAAATACGGCGAGGCCGTCTCGGTGATATCCGCTGTGACGGAGCATCCTGCTCGGGGAACGCTGATCCGAGCCTTGAGCAGCAGTATCACGCAAGATTTTGCATTTAGCAGCTCTTTGATTATTGATTATCTTGAAGTAATCTGTGAGAAATAATGCACAACCGGTAGCAGAGAATAGGACCATATTTTATTTTATAGGCGATTTCTTATATACATCGTTCACCGTTGCGCTATCATGGTCGTATAAGTCCGTCAGCGTGCTGGATCGACGTACATTTCACCCTAAAGGTCGCTAATTGTGGATTCGATCAATTAATAGCCGAGATATGCAGTTGCGGCAAATGTCCCAGCAGAGAATGTGATAAAATCATCAGCAGCGAAATGATTTTCTGGTTGACCCCGGAACGAGCAAACTACGGAAGCGATGACGCTATGCAAGCCGTGGACATTTATTCCTCCGGATACATTATATACGAAATACTGACGAATGGATCTCTATTCTACAAACTACAATCCATGAGTAAAAGTAAGGAGCATATTGGATTGGTGCAAATTCTCTATTTTATCGAGGCAGAGCCCGCTTTGCTCGATTTGATTTCGGTTTCTTTGTCGATGTACAGATGAGCTTTGTCAACTTGTGGCTGATGGCGCAGAAGCGGTCTGGAAGATCCTAGATTATACAGGCAACGAGTATTTGACTCGTTTTGCGCCTTTATTACAACTATGCTGGAGCAGCGATCCGGTTAAGCGTCCCAAAATCCAGAAACTGCGGTCACTGGTGTTGGAAATCTTGCCCTTGTTAACTGGCAATACAAGGGAGCACAAAGTAATCGACGCTATTCTCAAGCGCTTAGCTAATTATGCCGAAGCTTTGGAAAACGAAGTGATAATCAAGACCAAGAACCTTTGCGATGAGATTGCTAAGTGTGATGCCATCGTTGCACAGTTTCTGCCCCGGTAAAATCACCGCCCCTTGATGACTTCATTTTTGTGCAGTATATAATAAAATTTTCTAGAACCATCGTGAAACAGTTACGAACCGGCCACAATGTACAGCCGGAATTGTTCCAATGTGTAACGATTATGTTCATGGAGTTATCTGGCTTTTCCGACTTCGTCAACAGCGCTTCTCCAGAAAAGGTCCTGGCGCTGCTTAGCGAAACCGAGTCGTTTGTCGACCGACTGCTCATGCAGTGCGACGTGTATAAAATCGAAGCTGTAGCCGACACTTATCTGGTAAAAACAAATATATTTTCGCGTGAAATCTTTAATCCATGATAAAGAGCTATAAAATTCGCGAATAGATCGGCAGTGGACTACCTGAAAGAAACGGAAATCACCATGTCTGTTTTGTGGCTATGTTTGCCCTAAAGTTATTGAACTCCGGATTTCAGTTAATTCTTCCTGAGCATCTTGGTTGCAAAATTGGCATTAACTCAGGTAAAACTACAATATTAATAGCCATTGAACAATTGCAACGCACTTACGGAGCTAAAGCATACGCGTTTTTAAGGACCTTGTGCTGCCGGTCTTGTGGGATTACGAAGATTTCGCTACTGCCTGTAAGACTGTGACAAGCATTGCTGAAAACTATTCACGGAAAAACGACTTTTTTTTGTACGACTGTTTTTAGATTTGGCAATACGGTTAATATCGCCTCTAGGATGTGCAGTCAAGGTTTACCGGGACGCATACAACTCAGTGCCAGTTCCCAGTTGATCCTACAAGATTTCCCGGAATTCCGTGTGGCGCTCAGAGGCATCGTGCATGTTAAGGGCACATCACGCATGCTGACATATTGGCTGCTGGGTCTAACCGGCACGACATAATGCCTTCACGTGTATTTCCAGAAAATTACAGTATTTGTAGGCAGTATCGCGATTCTATTTGGCAGAATTGCCAGAATTTTCACTGAATATCTGGTTAAGAAATTTCGTCGGGGGCATTATCCCGCTGTCCTTCTAATGAAGCAACGATAGTTGATGCTCTCACCAGCAGGAGATAGAACGACGCACCGAAACGCATACTTAATACGAGTATTATGGGCAGTGTTTATATAATTTACGTCGACCGTTTGACGCACGCCGGAGCAAGCGCTTAGTAACTAAGTAATACTCTTTAATTTATGGCCGCCCTAATCAATGCATCACGAACGTAAGAGCAAACCGTGTATTCGAGTTAGCCTTTCATCCGCTGATTTATCGAAAATTATAGTACTGATTCAGACAAGTTATACAATAAACAGCAGACATGCTGCGCCGTCAACAGAGGCAATGTGCCGAAGAAATAAACCATAGCAAGAACATAGCTTCCCTGTACTGCTCATACCAGCCAGCTGAAGCGGGACGCTCGGGCTCAACATGGCGCTCATGTATCGCCCCCGGTTTGGCCATATTTACTGCCGCAACGTTATAGTCCAGCGGCTGACGTCCGCAGTATAGGGAGGCAACGTCACTGATTTGGTTTCCCTCTTCTACACAAGTAAAGCAGCAAAAGGCTAATTCAGTGCTGCTTTCTTTTGGGATCAGCATGATGCAGTGTTGTCCAATTTTTAAATGTTGTTAACTTGAGACGCTTGATTCGCTTGAGTTTTCTACACATTTTCTTTGCGCCGACACCGCAATATTTCGCAATGTGCCGACTAATGCGACCCTGCATTTTGGGACATTCGTAACTGCCATCGCAGAAGCGGGTGACCCCACAGCAGTCCACCGGGATGCGCCCATTTGACCCTGCAAATAAAAAGGAAGGCATTACTCAGTGTCCAACTTTCCAAGTAATCATACATCATTAGTACAAGTACTGCTTCGTATGTTTACTACGCTTTGGATGTAATTGCACGCTAAAATCACAGCTTTTGTTCAGAAACGCTTGCGGGAGGGTTTTTTCCTGCGATTGAAACGATCAAATACATAATTTAACGTGCACTGCACTGCGGGGCAGTGCTGCCAGAAACTTATCTAGCGGGGGAGAATGGACCGCAGTTTGCTCTAATTAAAGTAATCTCTCGTTGAAAAATCCAAAATACTATTAAGTTACAACACACAATATCTAGGTAGCAGGACAAGGAATGGTTATGACGCAAATTTTGTGGATTTCGATCAGAAACGACGACGAAGGCTTCCTGCCCGCCTCTAATACAGGGCTTTACATTGCAGTTGAATAGGGTAGCACATTGCGTAAGCTAGAAGTCGCGATACCCACAGCTGTCATGCTGAAAAAAAATAGGTAATTGTTCGAATCTGATTTACTTACTTGGGTTTGGCAAGGATTGCTGCTCTAGACTTAGCATCTGGGGCATCAGTGGCAGCGAAGGTCGTCGCCAGTGTGGAAGCGTGAGATTCGGCATCAGTAAACCGTTGATAAGATATCGTCGACGAATGCGGTAGTGTCGTACGCACAGCGGATAGTGTGTGACCTTTCGGAGCTGTTCTATCTGGGCATTCTACACAAAAAAGTGAAGAGTCACAGTTGATACGGTTGTTGCGCATGCAGCGCAATAGCATCTTGTAAGTCTTGTGCGGTTAGCATCATGAATCCCATACTTTACACAAAAGCATGCAAACCCATCAGCGACTTCAAGTCTGTTCGAAGGTATTTATCAGCATACGGTCGTGCTCAAATGGATGGATGCGGATGGATACACATAGCTTTGTTGTGGCAAGCCAAAGGTTGTGGCTCGAACGATAACAAGCAAATAACAGAGCGTGAAGAAAGAAATAAATCATTTGTGCTACTAACAGCGTGTCTTAACCTTTGTCTCAAATGCTTCACCTCTCGCAACATAGGTATATGCCTGGATAAAATTGCCTGGATAAGAAATTAGTGCTGTATGTGTCGTGTGATGATGTTGTGAGATAGATTTATTATACATAATGGCTGCGTGCACGGATGATATTTTTGGGTACGCACGGGTACTGGCTGCATGCACGGAGTTTTGTGGAAACAGATGTTGGCTGCGGGAACGGGATTCCTGCACGGCCATTGGCTGCGTGCATGGCTAAATTATTTAACTTTTTAATTTAAGTTTTTAGATTACAGTTTAATTTAAATTTCTTTGCATCCACTTTTGAACAGGTTCGATGCGACCACACTTAGTGGCCGCTTATGAAAGCATGCAACTGGCACTATTCCCACTTGTATCAGGCCGCGAAGAAAAAACTGAGCCGTAACACAAAGTATCCGTTTGTCCATAGAAATTCAACGGGGAAATGCGGCGTCAGTGCTGGGCACGATGGAAGGACTGGATAAGCTGAACGAAATTTTTCTGTTATAGTTTAGCGTGTTTTTTTCTTCGAATTGGTGTATTGAGGCATTGATTTGACCAATAAAGTCCCCACAATCCGTAAATATTCCTAAAATTATGGCATATGAATAAGTATGTCGGTCGGTCAAAAAACCTGTTGTCAAAAAACCGGTCAAAAAACCTGTTGCGGTTGAATAAAATCTGGAAAACTGTAAATATTACGATCAAGATTCGACAATCATAAAAAATTAAAACTGAAAAAGCCGTGCACAGCCAACACACGTGCGGATCCAAAAAGGTCATTCGTGCACACACCCAACACCCAAGCAAGCTCCCGCGCATGCAGCCAACACTCGTGTTTGCCCGTGCACGCCGATGTATATCACCAGCCAGCCATGGAATAACTTCTCTCACAATAACTACTTTTAGTCAGTTTAGCATTTGCACAGCAGCACGCCCATTCTGTTTAGCATTCAAGTCTGTCAAAAGGGGATCAAGTTACTCTGGTGTTGCCGCTTCAGCTCTTAGGCTACCGGGTAGTAAAGGTCATCATCCGCCGCATTCCGTAGCCACCCTGCGCTGCGTAACACAAAGCAGCAGCATGCGCGCAAGGAAAACACGCAACTATTTCTAATTTCACACCAGTCACTACAGTATTAGCATACTGTTACATTAATTTTGTGAACGATGGGGCCGGTACATGACGTGCACATGCATGAGAACATTGCCTTCCGGGCACTTAAAAAATGCTTTTCTGTATCGTTTAATGGCATCTTATCGCCAAAGGGTTGCATACACTGGGGGTGACACCGTTTTTGTGCCCAACACCCGGTTGTGAAATTAATGGCTCAATAAAATTCCAGAAAGTTTAAACGCGAACAGTTGTATCGAAAGCCTCATTATGCACCGAACTGCAAAGTTGCATGTAAACGCAGCAGTTTTATACAGTACCGTTGAACCGTTTGGGTACATTTTTCTAAGTTTGAGAACGAACTTCATGATATTTGAAGTGACTTTAAATTTCGAAAAAACTCCGATCTTGGTTAGGTATAAAACCGCTCTTTTTTTTACTAATATCATTGCAAAAGTGGTCGTGCACCGATTCACGCTATCCCTAGAGGACAGAAGGGAGGCTACAAATATAGAAAAATCGCTGCTGTAAAGTACTATTTGCGCTAATCCTAAATGTTAAGTAGTGCAACAGCCCCTGCACCCTTTAAAAGTTATCTACATAAAGACCCACTAATTGCGAAGACAGTATTAAAAGAAAACGTATGTGTAGTTGCGTTGCATACAGTAGAAATATGTCGGATGTGCCTCCGTTCCGAAAAAAAAACGTAATTAGAGTCTGTACATCTAAAATTTTGCACTAAGTTTTCTGCACTTACACGGGAAAGCAGGATTTTTCTGTTTTACTAAGTTATAAGCTACTTAGATACCATGGGTAGTGGAAGCTGAATGCCATATACGAAGAAAAATACATGCGATATTGAAAAATAAACGGGTAAGGTAGAGATATCGTAGCTTTTACTTGAAGCGTACGTATATGGTGAATCTGTCGTTATATGTGCCAGTCCGCAATAACATAATTATGAAAAGATAGCTTACCGTAAACTTTAGTGGGAAATTTGTCGTACGCCAGCCATGTGCAGAGCTCAGTGGTACAGTTTCGCTGTTCGGCAGATCTTTTGCGACATTTCCGAACGGATTTCGTTGCAACCATGGCGCCCATGCAGACCATGTACAATATCATGCAGACCGCTGGCTTAAGCAGCAACATTCTTAAGTTTTGCCGGAGCTTGTACCGACCAGAAACATCAAAAGGCCTCCGAAATCAACACGCTTCGACCATGCAACGCACACAAATATCTGCTGTTTTTGCGAAAGGTTGAGGGTATCTCATAAGCAATCAATAACACTATAACGCTAAATAGTCACTAATCACAAAATCGGTACGAATAGTAACAATTTGTGCAGAATTCCGGGTAAATTGATCTTCCCCGGTAATTAATGCCTCGTTCCAGGCGTTTGTAAGACACTTTTATCGTCGAGATAATGTTTGACCGGCAGATAATCGACAAGCAAAGATTTTTGAGCCTGGCTACGAGGCGGGTCCGATGGCGCAGGTATGACGCTGACTGCAGTTCCGCCTCCACAAACTGATTGACACTGATCGTAACTTGGTACGAAAATAACGGTATTTTACCGCATCTACAATTATACAAGCATGGGCTGCGATTAATTAAACAACTGCAGCACAGACCACAGAAAGTCTGCACATACTAAGAAAAAGGAGGTGTAGAAATCAATGCAACCACGCACATGAGCGTTTCTTGGAGCGGAAAACGGCTGTATTTTCTCGTTAGGACAGTTTTCCTTTAATGGAACAATGCGATTATGCTTCTCTTGACGTCAAAGGAACCGTCAAAACACCGCCTATTGTCATTGAGAAGACACGGCAAAGACACTACCGAGTAATGAAAGTGTTCGCTGATTCGACGCACGTCTGGACAGGCGGCAGGTTTGACCTTATACACCTTTAAACGGGACAATTTAACCACCACCTTTGCCTTTTCATTTTGC